GACTGATTGATAATTTATCACTTTCTAGGGGGTAAGATGAGAGAAAATGAACAAGAACAGGAAAAAAAAATCGCAAAGTATTAGAGCTAGAATTAAATTGAGGAACCACCTAGCGCGTACTCTCTAAATGCCAGTCCTGGTCACTGTGGTTTTCAAAATTAGTCACTGGTTAGGAAGGTTAATGCTTCTGACTGAGGTTTAATCACATCAGCTTGGTTGTCTGGTTTTAGCTGCCTCTTCTAGGTACCTCTTTTGGACATCCTATGGGGCTCTTTATAGGGGATTCACCAATCTGGTACTTGTTATGGTGTTGGCTTGTTTCTTAATAGCCATTAACTGACTTAGATATACGATAAGGACTTAATTCGGGCTTAATGAGGCCTCAGTCAGTACCAAGATAAGTCCCTAGTCAGAAAACAAATGTTGAAGGTGAAACGTGAATCAAAAAGTTGTATGCTATGTTTTCCGATTGCTCACTAAATAAAAGAAAGTTGTATAAATGGAGCCACTGGCTAAAACTAGTCCCCCAAATGCAGACTTGTTTTTATCTGTCTTCAGAGGGTGCCACCAGCAGTTTGGCTCTCCTTCGTCTTCACAGACAGACGTGGAGTTTGCAGGAAAGCTGGTGGAAGTATCGGGACTTTTCACACTAGACTCAGCACTTTCCTGAATTTGACTTGAATTTTGTGTTAATATTATGTTTGGGCCCCGAGAAGATTCGTTCAGCCAGGCCGACTTACGGCACTAAATGACTGGTTGACTGTACGTACTAATCACATAAATATGGTTTATGGAATGATATAAAATGGTTTATGAAATCATTTCTAAACCATCTTTTCAACAGTAATTACACCAGTCCTGTAATACCTTAAACCAAGCGGCATTGGCAAGAATTAGCCTAAGCATGTTTACTATCCTAATGATTAGCACAGAAAATCGCCATTGCAGTAAAATGACAGGGTTGTGTGCCTGTCCCTTCTTCCCCTGCACTTCCCTTTTTTCCCTCTCACATTAAAGCAGACTTCATAACGTTCCGTCATGGGAGAAGGCGGCGTAGGTTTCCAGTTGCTGTAATTGAGTTAAACCATAAAATTGTTTCCAGATTACCAACCATGAAATGGAAATACAATCTTATTTATGAATTTATAAATCAGATAATCTCCCGAAAATGAATCCTGAAACCAGAAACAGTTTGATGATTAAACAGGAGAGCAAAAGTTTTCTCATTACCGTGTGTCACAAGGATTGTATTTTTATAGAGTGGCCTTGGCCGGGCTGGCGGGGCGTGCGCAGTTACGCGGTGCTGCGTGTGCAGCGGCCTTCCCTGCACACGGGTCTCGCCCTGGTTTCCTGGGCAAGGGGAGAGGCTCACCCCCACCTGTCCCCAAGCTCAAGCATCCCAGCTCTCCAGGGAGGATGTCAGATGAGCAGCTGCCTGACTCAGTATCTCTGACGCATCACATCTTTTTCCTGGTGGCCCTGCAGGTGACAGATCTTGCAGGAGGCCACCCAGGGAGCATTTGCTCCCTTCTTCGTGGACACAGAAAACTGAGCTAAGCACGTGGGCACCTGCACTGGGTGCAGGCAGCACTTTTGCTCCAAAACATCCAAACGCTCATGCCAGGCCGTTCTGCAACTCAGTCAGTACCAGCCCTGAACGAGGAGAGTGGGATGCCATTTGGGGCGTGTGTTTCTCTGCACCCTAAAACTGTTATCTAGGAAAAGCCAAGTACCCACTGAGCCGGGGAAAAATGCCAAAGGCGTATTTGCATAAAGCTCTATGGACTCCCATGTGGAGATGCCCTGGCCTCTGCTGTAACACTCTTTTTGTTTGTTTGTTTTTTGTTTAGTTATTTTTAGAGACAGGGTCTCTCTCTGTCACCCAGACTGGAGTGCAGTGGTGCAGTCATAGCTCACTGCAACCTCGGCCTCCTGGGCTCAAGCCATCCTGTGACTCAGCCTCCCCAGTAGTTGGGACTACAGGTGTGTGCCACCACGCCCAGCTAATTTTTAATTTTTTGTAGAGATGGGGTCTCACTATGTTGCCCAGGCGGGTCTTGAATTTCTGGCCTCAAGCAATCCTTCTGCCTCAACCTCCCAAAGTGCTGGGATTACAGGCGTGAGCCACTGCGCCTGGCCACTGTGCTGTAACATTCTACAATTCTGACCACAATGATGAATCCGTTGAAGATGCATGTCTTTTATCTGGAATGCTTTGGGTGCTTTGTTTCCATTTTTAATGCTGCTGCTCTTCTTTGGTGGGCAAGGTAATGAAACCTGCAGACCAGAGAGGGATCCGAAAGAACACCAGTTTAGCCCTGATCAGCAGCGTGCCTGTGGCCAGTGTGGGAATCCCAGGACCGTCTTCTGCCTTCTCCCCCTTAGCAGAGTCTCGTTTAGTCTCTACGTAATGAGACCTACCTGTTTCTTGCATTTCTTAATATTACTGTCTTCCGCATGTCACTTAGGTTGCCACCACGCCTTTGTTTCCCACACGCCAGCTGTGTGGAACCCTTTAAGCCACTTCCTAACCAAAGATGGCTAGACCCTAAAAATGTCATGCCACTTTTTTTTTTTTCTTAAAGAAATATTCTTTGCATTTGCCTAGGATTGAATAAGCGTAACAAACTAGTGCAACTCAAGGTAGCTCTAAATTCAACTCCACTCTCGGGGCCGTTCGTTTGACTTCTAGCTCCGCCGTGGACAGAGCCCCTGTGAGATGAATGCGGGTGCTGGGCAACTGTCACCTGCTCACCTGAGCGTTTCCCCAAGGAAGTCATTCATGTCCTGAGAGTTGGTGTGAGTCCGTGTCTCCCATGTGGCAGGCAGCATGATCAATCACCACCCCCATCGTTTCTGGGGTGCCATTGTGACTTGGGTCAGTACACTTGGGATTTCCAATGGGTATTTACTAACCTGTTTTCCTTATTTGAATTTCTTACTAATTTTTCTCTCCGGCACATGAACCCTTTATGGCAAAAAGGACTCCAAGAACACAGGTATGAATGAAATGCTCTGCAGCTCACACGTGTAGCAGTGACTGATATACCTGGAAACAGTTGCGAAGTTCCTCCGTGGAGAGAGATTTCCACCCTCACCGTGTGAGATTTCTTCTTCCCACTCTATTAGAACAGAGAGATTGTACTGTTAATACTTAAATTGTTCGATGTTTTTCCTTCCTTGGTGGGTTTAAGATCATTAACTGTCCAGACTGTATGCCAGGAAACTCAGTGTAGTGACAGAACCATCAATTTTAAACTAAAAGAAATGCACACAGTTCTGACGTCAGAAGTTCGTAATTTTTGCAAAACCAAGTTCAGTGTTTCCTACGGTGTAAGGGTTATGTTCCAAAGACAAAACTCAAGCTCACAAAGTTGTGTGTGGACAAAATTACCCTTAAAAATGCTCTTGATTGCCTTAAAGTTCAGGATACAGGTGGTACCATCTCTCAGTAAGCCCAACTTACCCAGTCTGTTTTTTCTAGTGAAAGAGCAGACCACCAACCGGTATGGTTTCCACTGGGAACAGATGAAGCGGTTGGCTTGTGTTTCAAACCCACAGTGTATACATGTGTTGTTTGTAGCATAGGAACCCCTGTCGCCCACACTAGCGGCCCATGGGACAGAGACCCACAGTGAGGAGCGAGGTCTCTTCTCTTCTATCAGGCTCACACTGGGGCACCTGCTCATGGGGACAGTCGCAAGTGAGATGCCCACACTATTTAAACTGCTCCACCAGGCGCAATGGCTCACGCCTGAAATCCCAGCACATTGGGAGGCTGAGGCAGGAGGATCACTTGAGCCCAGGAGTTCGAGACTAGCCTGAGCAACAAAGTGAGACCCTGTCTCTAGGAAAATAATAATAATAATTAGCCGGGCATGGTGGTGTGTGCCTGCAGTCCCAGCTACTCTGGAGGCTGAGGCAGGAGGATTGCTTGAGCCCAGGAGTTGGAGGTTGCTGTGAGCTGCGATGAGGCCCCTGCATTCTAGCCTGGGCGACAAGAATAAGAGCCTATCTCAAAAGACCAAAAGCAAAACAAAACAAAACAAAACAAAAAACTAACACACAGCACTCTTCTCCCCTCTCTTATTTGACTGTTTGGAACTACTACGTACATATAACTGAATTCACATGAGGTGACATCGTTTTTATACAGTATTGAAAATAATGGCGATGGTTCTATGAAACATGCATTGTCTGAGGTCCAGAAATGTGAGCCTCTTTCAAACACAACACAAACTATGATGTAGCATCAGAGAGCTCCAAAGAGAGAGATACAGCATTTATTTGCACAGAGTAAATCATTGAAGGAATTTTTCACTAATGTCTCGAGATGACCACGTTGTTAGGGACATTCATTTTCCTGCTGGATCCCATGGAAGCCCCCAGGCTAAAGTTCCTACGACATTCGATTGACAATCGTCTACCCTCAAATCGTACATTGATTTCAATCCTATTTTTCCACAGTCTTAAAAAGAGACATGCATGTGTTTGTGTTGCCCCCAAGCTGTAAAGCGAATGTCACTGTACCTGCGACAGACATCGCCATCATTTTCACCAAAACCACCCAGCAGCCTCCCCGCAGAGGGGCTCGCTTAGACGTGCGTGCAGCTGGCCAGCACCTGGCCTGGGACGTCGCTGGCGCTAGACAGGGGCCCATTCTTGCAGGATGAAATGAGGGAAGCAGAGCTGAAAGGCTCAAAAACACGCGACATGCAGAGCCGTTTCCGAGGGAGATGTTTTTCAGTTTCCGGGGAGGCCTCCGCTGGCTTGCACGGTGTCTTTGTAGTGAGGTCACTGGCTTTGATGCTAGACTGTGATCATCGCATCTTGACCTCGGCTGGGGACTTTGCAGACTGTTCACGTCCCTGAGCCAGGCTTGGTGAACTTTGGCGGCCTTTTAGGGAGGACGTTTTTATAACCATCAGGTGGATCATTTACCTAGAAAAACCAGTCTGAAAGTCAACAGAGCTTTAACAAACAATTCTCTTGTTTTGCAGAGAAAGGATGCAAGCCATGGAGAAACAGATTGCCAGTTTAACTGGCCTGGTGCAGTCTGCACTTTTTAAAGGGCCCATTGCAAGTAATAGCAAAGATTCATCTAGGTAAAAAAAAAAAAAAGAAGAAGAAGAAAACAAACCAATAAAAAAAATAATTTGATCTGTTTCTCTTTAATCATTAAGATAATTCATTCATTCAAATCTGTTTCCTTGTAATCATTTCAAGGCTGAAAATATTCACATCTCTATGAATCATGGGTGGGTTTTTTTTTTTTTTATTATTTGCTTCGTTTTGTTTTTTTCTTCTGGTAATTCTTGGTCAAATGTCCCACTTTGGCCCAAGAAGGCTGAATGGGCTTCCCAGTGCATGTGGCTTCATGGACCACTCACCGCACTGCGCCTGCAACCGCCATCCTCGGTGTCCACGTCCCCATCATCTGAAAGTCACGTGTTCTGGGCTGCATTCCACCCCCAGTGCCAGGCGTACACCTGGGAAGCCTTTTCCATCTGGCCGGTCATGGTGCTGATGCTAAGATACCTTCATCGCTTAATCCCATCACTGCTAATTGCTTCGAATAGTGAATGAATGGGGGGAAAAAGGCCTTCGGGAAACCGTAGAGCTAACTCACTCTCTCTTTCTTTTATTCAGCGACAAGATGATGAAGACCACAGCCAGGAGCCACACGGACGGTGCAGGTGAGCAAGTGCTCCTCGGAGCTCCGGGAGGCCTGGTGGGCGGCCTCGGGCCAGCCCCGGCTGGTCTCAGAGTGTTTAACCTTTCCCAAGTCCCTAAGTCCCCTATTTGGGTGACTTCAGTGGCTTCCTGGGTACCTCCCTCCCTTCCACACCTTTTCCGATTATGCTGAAGTTGCAGATTTTGTCATTGATCCAGTGAGCGAAGCAGTGTCTTCTCCGGTCAGTCTTCATTTATTCATTCATTCATTCATTCACTCAGTCGCCCACTTACTCATTTCTGTGGCCCTACGGAGGGCCTCATGGTGACATGGGCTGCTGCACGGAAGATGGATAATGAGACAAGTAACTTTACATGGGCTGAGTATTGAGAAGTGCAGGATATGGCCGGGCGTGGTGGCTCACGCCTATAATCCTAGCACTCTGGGAGGCCGAGGCGGGCCCGAGTTGGGTTTGAGGGTCAGAGTTCAAAACAGCCTGAGCAAGAGCGAGACCCGTCTCTACTAATAAATAGAAACAAATTAATTGGCAACTAATATATAGATATACAAAAAATAGCCAGGCATGGTGGCCTGGTAGTCCGAGCTACTTGGGAGGCGAGCAGCAGGATTGCTTGAGCCCAGGAGTTTGAGGTTGCTGTGAGCTAGGCTGACGCCACGTCACTCACTCTAGCCTGGGCAACAAAGCAAGACTCTGTCTCAAAAAAAAAGAAGTGCAGGATAAATGTTTAACACATTAACTGCCATGTGAGTTATATTTAACTCATGCTAGTTTTGAGCTCCGGGGCCTCGTGAATCAAAACCTGGGCAAAACCCTACTACAGTTGGTTCGTGAAAATCATACTTATTGATGTTTTTATTGTTACAATTCATATTGACAGCCTGATTCTAAAAATGTGGATTAAATAAATAGAAGTCAATACATTTCATTTTTTTATTTATGTTTACCTTTAAATTACACTTAAGCCTGACAAGTCAAGAAAAACACTTTACCCTTATGAATTATTTTTTCAAGTGTTCACATTACTTTTTACATTACTCATTTTCAAGTTTTTTTATTACTTTTTTTATTGGGGAAAAAACACAGAGAGCAATAAAAAAATAACAAATAGTTCATTAAATTAGAAAGGATCATTTTGTTTTTATTCTGTTTTCGTAATAACACACCGTGGCCCCCAAGGAAAACCACTTTTTTCTCTAGTGTGCAGCCAGTGTGTTCTCCGACAAGGCTGGCTGCACTGAGGGTGTGTCCCCGAGGAAGTGACACAGACTGGGGCCCGAAGGAGGAATAGGACTTAGAGGGGAGAAGAGCCATCCGGGCCAAGGGAATTTAGAAATTGTTCTAAGTACGCCGCAGTGAAGCTACTGGAAGGTTCTACGCTGAGGCAGGATGTCAGCCCAGCAGCAACATGGGAATGGACGAGGAGGAGCAAGAGCCAACAGGGAGTGACCAGGTGTCCAGGCGGGATCTGAAGGTACCCTTGGACCTGGGCCTGCTTTTTAAATGCCAGCATTCCCCTAATAGAGGACCCAGTCCCGTTAGCAGTGGCATCACCAGTAACGAGGTCTGTGTGACAAATGTCTTCTGCCCTCTAAACAGAAGCTCCTTCCAGAGATGAGGTCTTCCCTCCCGTCGGTTAGAAATAGCAACCGTTAGCAGGGACGTGTTCAGACACTGGATTACGCAGGAAGCAGATGGCAAGTTGGGTGGAACCCCACGTTTAGCGAAGCCACGTGCGTGTAGTTTTGTGCGGCGTGGTAGAGTGGACCAAATTGGGGACTTCGGTTAGGCCCCCGGCGGCCCTGCTTCTGCGCTAGCCGAGCCCGCTGAGCTGCAGAGCCGACAGGACCGCCTCGCCAGCGCCCCCGACCCTGGCAGGGCTTGTTGTTTTGCTTAGAAATCAATCAGTGGCCTTGGCCGCAGCCAGAGAATCATTTCATGGAAATTGCTAGACTTGTCTTCGGTGCAGTTGCCAGTTTGTTTTGGAGATATTTATTCATTTATTTTTTTTAAAAATGTGTTATGAATTTAAGGGAATAAAAGGAAGCTGCTACACACTAAAACCTTCCATCCCTCTGGAATCCATTCTAGAAACAATTAGTGTCCGATACTATGGTTCTCATCAGTATACGGATGCTGTTTTGTGTTCTCCTTTTCTTCCTTTTTTGCTTTTTGTGGAATAATAATAACAGGATACACGTAGTAGGTGCTTTCTTTGTGCCAGGCCCTGTGATCAGTGTTTTCACGCAGTCACTCATTAACTCCTGAACACATGTCCACACACGTGACACACATCCACACACATGTAATACACATCGACATAGTCCACATGCCATCTGTTACCTCATTCTTTTACATTAAGATACCCCGATCCCTTTAAAGATCATACAGGTTGTTTCATTTCTTTGTTTTGAAAATTTTTGTAAATTTCTTTTTGATCACGGGGCAGGAGCAAGTGCCATTTCCTCGGCTGTATTTCCCAAAGAGAATCACTCAGCCCAAAGGCACAGTTTAGTAGCACTGACAACACGCCACCAGTTTTCTCTTCTGAAAGGCTGAGCCAGTCCGTGATGCCACCGGCAGCACACACGTGGCCTCGTTCCCCGTGTCTCTGCTGAGCTCAGACTTGCTCGTTCTGTTCTGTCAGGGCTAGATGTTGTCCACAGGGGCCTGGTTGCCATAGCAGCTTGTGCAGTGCACAAAACATAATAATTCCTCCAGAATCCTAGGAAGTAAGCTACAAGACAGGAAGTATTATCCCTGGTCTGTAGAGGAGTAAATGGAATTATCTAGAAGTCAAGAATTGGCCAAGATTAAATGAAAGAAGGAAACCTAGACTCCTGGTTACTTTAGGAATATGTAGTTTATTGTGGATATAGGAGAACAGAAGGAACCTTCCATCTCACTGCCATTCCATGGGTTTTATACTCTGCATTAGATCATTTAACACACGTAACCCTACAAGGAAGATATTCCTATTCATATTTTACATGGAAGGAAATGGAATGAGGATAAAGTAATTTGACTGATTATAAAAGGAAAACTTGCAATTGATCACGATCCCATCTAAGAACAATTAACATCGGAAGGCACTAAATGAATTCTGACTCGCATGCACGCCTGTAATCCTAGCACTCTGGGAGGCCGAGGCAGGAGGATCACTCAAGGTCAGGAGTTCGAAACCAGCCTGAGCAAGAGCGAGACCCCATCTCTACAAAAAAAAGAAAATAGAAATTAATTGGCCAACTAAAAATATATAGAAAAAAAATTATCTGGGTAAGGTGGCGCATGCCTGTAGTCCCAGCTACTCGGGAGGCTGAAGCAGGAGGATCACTTGAGCCCAGGAGTTTGAGGTTGCTGTGAGCTAGGCTGACGCCACAGCACTCTAGCCTGGGCAACAGAGTGTGAGACTCTGTCTCAAAAAAAAAAAAAAATTCCAACACGTAGCTGTCACTGGAAATGTGATTGGATATTCTAAGTACCTTTACAGTTGGACAGCATCCTTTTGAACAATTGCAGAGGTGGCCAACCTTGTTCTTTTGAGGGTGATTTTTTGGGGGGCTGGTGGCAGTAGGAGAACAACCAGAAGTCGATCAGAGCCATGACTGGTGACGGTGTGAGTGACCGCGTGACAAAAAGCTCACGACATGCCTGGTCTGCGGGGCCCCCTTGGCCGCCCTTTAAATCTCCTGCAGGCCTGCTCTGCTGACTCCCCAACAGGCCATTGGAGGGGCTGGTGCTGTTTGGACAGTCACCCAAGGGTGCGGGGCACGTTGAGCCACCAGCTCCCCACTGGTGCCGCTGAGGCCAAGCAAGGAAGAGCACAGTTGGAGGGGCCTCCTCTCCCGCCCGCATGCCACCATCAGCCCGTGGCAGCGGCTCCGCTGACCCTCTGCCAGGGTGTGTGTGCTGGGGAGGGATCGCACGGTGGTGGCGCCAGGTTGGAGAGACAGGCTACCGTGCTGTGACCACGCCACAGTATGCAAATAACCGACCGCGTGCTGTCCTGCAAGGCCAGCCGGGCTGGGACAGAGATGCCACCTTCCCGTTACAGGAAGGAAACTGAGCGGAAGGAAGCGTGTGTGCACGTGTGTGTGCACGTGTGTGCATGGGGAATGTGGATCCGAACCGATTCCAGGGCCCTGTTCCATAGAATCCGAGTTTTCCTAAAAGGAAAACAGCCCTTCATTTTCCTCCCTGTACCTTAAACCCTGCTGAGCCTGTTGGCCCACTTGGGGTTCTCTTTGTGTCTTTTCAGAGACAAACTTGGTGACGCGAGGCCCTTCCTGGATAGACTTGGGAAATACAGGAAGATTATTTAAGTTGAATTCAAGGAGCAAATGTTTACGGTAGCTAGAAAACAATGTCGGAAGAGTTGCTGTCTGTTGCTTTTTTGGATGGCTCTCCTGAAGCATTTTGGCATCATGCCTCATTTTCTTAGCAGAGGGGTCCTGCATCTTGGGGTTTTGGAAACCTGAAGGCATTCGGGACAGTACCAGTTCTTGTTCGTGTCCCCTTGGTGATCAGTCGATCCCCGATCTCTGCCCAGAAAAAAGGCGCATGTCCTTAACGACACGTCGCTGTGCAGGAAATGGTCACATAAGCACTCTGTGTTAGGGCTCAGGGTTTTAAAATTATTTTTTTCTATTATGAAATTACAGATAATCACTGTACAGATTTAAAAATATAAAAAAAATTGTAATAAAAAATGTGACACTTACATTGGAAAACCAACAGCTAGAGATACTACTAAAACCTTGGTGTATAGACTTCTAAACTTTTCTTTTGCAAACTTATGTGTTTAAAGATAGATAGATAGATAGATAGATAGATAGATAGATAGATAGATAGGGCTGAACACGGTGGCTCACGCCTGTAATCCAGCACTCTGGAAGGCCAAGGGGGGAGGATCGGTTGAGGTCAGGAGTTCAAGACCAGCCTGAGCGAGAGCAAGACCCCGTCTCTACAAAAAATAGAAAAAATTAGCCAGAGAGGTGATATACACCTGTAGTCCAAGCTACTCAGGAGGCTGAGGCAGGAGGATTGCTTGAGCCCAGGAGTTTGAGGCTACAGTGAGCTATGTTGATGTCACTGCATTCTAGCTAGGACGAAAGAGCGAGACTCTGTGTCAGAAATACAAGACAGACTGACATATGGGCAGATGGGAACACAAGCAGCTTCCTTAACATGGCATCATGCTGTCATGCTGCTGCTCTGTGGCCTGCCTTCCTCTGGCACGAGACTTCTAGAACTTCTGGAGTTTTGCAGACTGTGCACCATAACGTTACATGGTCCATCATTTTTTTTCTTAATGAAAGAAATGGGTGTTTCTAGAGCTGCGCAGTGACCTGCGTTGGGACGGGACTTGTGGCCTGGGCTTTCCTTTCTGGCCTTCTTAGGTGCTCTGCCGCTCTTTTCTCCTAGGAACTGCCCACGTGTCTGGCGGGAAGACCCTCGGCCCCCTGGAGCCCCCGGCGCCCCCCGGCCAGGCCCCGCCTGCGGCCGCCTCCGCCATCCACGCGAGCCTGCTGGACATGAGGCGGAGCGTGGCCGAGCTCCGGCTCCAGCTGCAGCAGATGCGGCAGCTCCAGGTACGGCGCTGTCCCCGTCGCACCCCTGGCCCGGCCGCCCTGGGTCGCCTTTCTGCTCCTCTCTCGCCTCACCCCGCGTCCTCAACTCCCCCTCGCCTTCCCTGGGCTCTTTCTAGCGTCCTTAGCCCAGGGTTAACCGAGGACCTGGAGAGTCGGACTGTGGCCACCTGGTGTCCTCTGTCGCTTGCACAGCCCTGGTCTAGAGGCACCTGCCGTGACTGTGGTCAGTCCGTGACGCCTTCTTCAAGCTGTGCATGCTTTTGCCAGGAAGAAACTTTTCCACATGTGCTTTTGCAAAAGAGTTGGAGGGAGGGGAGCCCCGCTGCATCACGCCAGCAGCGGTTAATGCTGACAGCGTGTGGGCGCCGTCCCCTCCCCCCCGCAGTGAGCAGGCACAGGGTGGACAGTCGCCCACACCTTCTTTTTTTTTTGCAAGGAAGTGTGATGCATTTAGAATGATGAGTTTAGACTAGAACATGAAACCAAAAGAGAAAAAGCCACCAAGGATGATTTGTTAAGAAAAACATCTGCATTTCATTTAAAGTGTGAGGTCCATCTCTTCCTTGCCCCTTTCCACTGCGAAGGAAGATACGAGCTACATGGGAGTCAAAGGGGAGGGAACGTGACCCTTCATGCCACGAGTCTTGGTCAGCAAATGCCATATATGTGCCAAAGCACAACATGCAGCCTCCTCGTTGTCATTAAGAAGAAGGTGGGTCTGAGCGTCTCTGTATGAGGTCACAGTTCTGCCCTCCCTCCAGCGTGCGGGTGGCATGAGCCCTATGTTTTTCACCACCTGATGAAGGCTAGGAAATGATGTCCCCTTACCCTCTGCCTCGCAGAGAACAAACACAAAGGCAGCTGGTTTGACAGACCTGCCACGAGGCCCCAGCCTGGGTCTTGAGAGTTTGTAGAAGGCCAGGCGCAGTGGCTCACGCCTAAAATCCCAGCGATGGGAAGTGGAGGCCGGAGGATCACTTGAGGCCCCGGGGTTTGAGACTAGTCTGAGCAACTTAGTGAGACCTCCCTCCCACCTCTAAAAATATAAGCAAAATTAGCTGGTAGCTGGTGGTGCATACCTATAGTCCCAGTGAGTCGGGAGGCTGAGGCAGGAGGATCACTCGAGCCCAGGAGTTAGAGGCTGCAGTGAGCTGTGACCACACCACTGTTCTCCAGCCTGGGCGACAAAGCGAGCCCCTGCCTCTAAAAATTAAAAGATCTCGGGAATGATTATACTGGAAAGAAAAAAATAAATAAAAAAGAAAAGAAAAGAAAAATTGAAAGAAAAAGAGAGAGTTGCTAGAACAGATCACACTGCCCAAGGCTGCTGTCTCTCAGGCAACGTCCCAGACACTTGGACATCAAATGCAAATTAATTTAAATCTTCTTCTGAGTCATGTCATCGACGAAGTCCCACATGCTTTGCATTAGCTCTTCATGGCTTTGCAATTTTAAAAACACTTTGCAATGAAATGCAACGTACAGGTTGGGCTGGGGTTGTATGCAGAGGTGACAAAGTCACATGTCTTCAGTGTCTAGGCAGTGACGGCAAGTGAAGCAGGAGGACAATGGGAAATCAGTTCCTTTAAAGGACAGTCGCCACTCAGCTCCAGCCAGCTCTTAACCCGATGGAATTAGAGTCCAGCGTTTCTATTAATAGATGTTTCAATACTGCAAGCAAATCTGGAAATACAGGTTTTATATGAATTACTCTATTTTAAAATGTTGGAAAGTAGTTAAAAACCAATGACTTAGTACTCTGCAGGCCACAGGACACACCTGCCAGCCAGAGGCTGTAGGTCACTTCCCAGCTTACCTGGGGTCACTGGAGGTTAAGCCCCTCCTCCCGCTGCTGCGCCTGCCTTTGGCGCCATCTGCTGGCCATTTGGAAATTGTGCCGTCCTCATTGGACGCTCACAAGAAAAATAAATGTATGATTTGTCTGGAAGTACCTAACTGCTCTCAAAAGTGAACATTTGTGGGTTTGGGGACAAGATAGAATTGCTTTAGCGTAAATATCACTCTTCCCCCTGGATACTTCATAGGCGTCAGAGGGTGAATTTGGTACCAAGGCTATGATGTCTGGCTGTAGCATCACCCTGTTGGTGGCTGACATTGTGTCATCCTCCCACTGGCTGGGAGGGACTTCCCACTGCTGGCCTCTCCTTGCAAAACCCGTGAGCTGCAGCGGCTCAGTACAGGAGAGTAGCTTTCTTAAACAAAGAAGTTCTTTGGTCAGTGTCTAGGAATGCTATCTTAACCACACAAGTTTCTTCATTGTTCAACTTTTCTGGCTTTCTGGGAATAAAGAACAATGAACAAATGTGCTTTTGAGCTCGGGAGTTTGTGCAGTTCCAAGTAGCAGGCACACGGGGAAAGCGCTTTGTTTCCTAACCTGGCTGTATTCTTTCTGCCTCTGTCTTTATATTCCTGGGGTCCCCTTTTGCTTTCTTCCTGCTCAAACTTCTGCCTTTTCAGCCAGGGGAGTCTATTTAAGATAAAAACAATTTAGGATAATTAAGCTATTTCAGCACCAATGCTCCTTCAGCCCGTGTATTATTTTACACCAAAAATGAAGAGCAACCCCATAGTGATTATAAGTCCAGTAATGGAGCTATCATTGGAGATATACGAAACTCTCTAGAACAGTCTCAAAAGGACAAAAAATTGAATTAGAAATTCAAGCGTTCTTTGAATTGTGTGATAAAATAGTGAAAGTGAATGAAATCATTTGTGCTTGGCAGCCAGCTGGAGTAATTAGATAATTAAATCATTGGAAAATCCTAGACTGTATACCATATCCTATTTGAACATTTCATTTTCAGAATGGATGGATTATTCTCATGAATAGAAATTGGATGCAGACACAGTAGGGTGGGTAGATTTCAACGGGACAAAAGTAATGTCAAGTGAGGCAAAAGGGGCCTAAGTAGAAGGTTATGAAAACCCTGTTTTTGTCATCCTCTGCTGTCTAGTCTTCCATAAATTATCAGTGTAAGGATCATTCTCAGTCCTGGCTACACATTGGAATTACCTGAGGCCCTGAGCAAAAATACCAGTACCAGGTATCACTGCCAGAGTCTGACTGCATTGGAATGGACCAAATGGAGGGTAGGCAGTGGTGATTCTAGAATGTTCCAGGATAAGAACTACTGCTCTCAGTTGTGAATGCTCAGTCCATTGAGATCCCTCCTGGAAATGTTGAGATCAGTCAGCTGTCACAAAGGGGGAAGCGGAAACAGAGGAGGTATCCACCATCCTGTGAGTGTCAAAGACATGCCGGTGACTAAAAGCTGATTTCAAACAAAGCATCTCATTCCCAGTGGCTAACTGGATGTGCTCTCTGCTTAGCGACAGTGGGTACAAGAGCTGTATGGAGCTTCTGTAGTGTCAGGTTCCCACTTCCAAGCAACAATCGGGTCTGTGACTAGCTGGCAACAGTGGAAAGGGGTCTCATCAAGGTCTTGCACCGAACAAACATTTTCTTCAGAAGATGATCATCTTTGTCTACTACCTTTCCTGACAGGGTTTAGAAAAAGGCCCACTTTTTCTACATAATGAGTGACATCTTTTTCCCAAAATGCCATAGTACTTAGATTTTACCAAGGTAATCCCCTATCTATGGAAGTGACTGCATTTCTGCCCCTCTCTGTGGGCTGAGGGGAGAGAGAAGCTTCTGGAAGAGATGGTACAGGTTCTGTGGAGGTCTGACAAGACTTGGCCTAAAGAGAGAATGGATACATCCTACTTCTCTAATCGCCACTATTTTTTTCTTGGACCTATCTCCTTATTCTGCTTCCTGATAAATAAAAAAATTGGGTTATTGTGAAATTAGTGTTACATTTTTTAGGATTCCTTAGAATCTGCTATGTCTTCCCAGGAGAGAGAGGAGATAAAATATCAGAATAAAACATAAATGTAGTAGTCCATAGAGCCTTTGTATTTGAAATGATAAAATCCAACACAGTTAGTTTAATGTGTCTTTTTATAAGATAGAGCCTCATGGGAATGTGCCAGAGGGTCATTTATCTTGTGACATTAGAAATAATGGTCACAGATCCCTGAGAAAAGACTGTTTTTCCTCTGCCAGGCAGAAGTAATAAATGGAGCTAGTACAGGGTCGATGATTAGGCTGCTATGCAACGCACCAAGCTCTGGCAGGAGTTTCAGACAAGAGGCTAAGATGGGGAAAGGGCACTTGCTGGCAAGAAGCTGTGGCGAGGCATCCTTTGCCCTCTCTGAAGCCTGAGGGCACTTGTCCAGGTGGCCTGGCGTCACTCTAGGGTCGGATTATCGTCGTGAGACTTGCTGATTTGTGGCATAACCGCTGTTCAGTGTCACCGCTACACAGCAAAATCAGCCCGATCGTGATATCCACTGTTGGCAAGACCAGTTGTCGTAGATTTTACCTAAGAAATCAAGATTGAGCCTGTGAGATATAGGCCGTTCTCAGATGGGTGGAATTAAGTGTGGCCATCTCCTGGTTTCTTCATGAAGTGATACGGATAACTTGTTTGGTCCAGTTAAAATTGTAATGGCCAAAAACATTCTTTCTGTCTAAGTGTGCTTATGAAAGTGTCAAGGCATTTTCAATACATTATGTTCCCAGCTAGGAGGGAGTAACTGCAGCGCCACTTGCCTTCCTACTGTTGACAACTAGAAAACTGAAAAACAAATAAATGTATGAAACAACTATTCTCAGAAATTGGACAACAGACAACGCAGGGCTGTGATGCTTAGGAGAATGAACATAAAACTACAGTTGACCTAGCTTTCTGCTTGGAGGCACTTTTCAGATCCTAATGCAGGAGAAGAATGACCCAAGTTTGGCATTGATGGTCTTGCTGAGTTGAGTAGATAAGATCACAGTTTGGAGAACAGAAACAGCTAGAACGTGGGGACTAGAGTATCACATAGAGGAAAGCTCTGCAGAGAAAGAACTATATAAATATGTGGGTCTCTTACTGAATAATAAGCCAAGCATGTGAACTGCAAAAACCACTGACAGGCAAAGACCTAGTCGGGGGGACTATAAGCTAAAAAATCTCAACGCTGACACAGGCCTGGGATATGTTCAGTTTTGACAAGCAGGAGTTCAGAGACCATGCTGAGCACCTGGGCATTTAGTCGAGATCCGGGAGGGGCTGTGCCTCAGTCTTAGAACTAATCTAGCCCCAGAGTAAAGACTACCCTAGATTCACCCTAACAGCTTAAAAATAAACCACTAAAGGATAATCGATTCACAAGAAACTGAATTGTCTGCCAGAGAAAGTCCAAAATCTGTAAAGGAAAACAACATAATTCAAAACTCTATGCCCAACATCTAGTCAAAAATTACTAGATATGTGGCCGGTTACATTGGCTGGTGCCTGTGCTCCCAGCACTTTGGGAGACTGAGGAAGGAGGGTTGCTCCAGGCCAGTTTGAGACCAGCCTGGGCAATATAGCAAGACCCTGTCTCTAGAGAAACTTTTAAAAATTAGCCGAATTTCACTCCAGCTTGGGCGACAGAGCAAGACCCTGTATCTTAAAAAAAAAAAAAAAAAATTACTAGATATGTAATGTTGCTAGAAAATGTGACCTATTACCTTAGGAAAGACCAGTCAGTAGAAGCCAGCCAGAAATGACAGGGATCATGAAGTCAGCAGCAAGGACTTAAGTAACTATAACCTTTATAGTTGTTCTCAAGGATTTAAAGGAAAACATGAACATAATGAGACAAAGAATGGAAGATATAAGAAATGTCCAAGTGGCACTTTCAAGAGCTGAAAAACACAACATCCGAATGAACTTCACAGAAGATTCGTCACTGCCCTAATAAAATACCAGTCAACTTGGAAACATAGCAGTAGAAACTGTCCAAACTGAAGTACAAAGAGACAAAAGACTGAAGAAAATGAAATAAAGATCTAGTGACTTGTGAAACAATATGAAGTGGTCAAGTAGGAAGAGAAAAATATTCAGAGATAATGGCTAAATTTTTTTCCAAATTTGACGAAAGCTATAAACCTATAGACCAGAAAAGCTCCGTAAACGCCTAGAATGGTAAACACAAAGGAAATCACACCAAAGCACATTGTAATCAAAATGCTAAACACACACACACACACACAAAACAGGTATAAATAGAAAAATCTTAGAAGCATTGTGGGGAGGAAGTGACATACTATATACAGAGAAACAAAAGGATTAACACTGACTTCTTTTTTTTTTTTTTTTTTTTTGAGGCAGAGTCTTACTTTGTTGCCCAGGCTAGAGTGAGTGCCGTGGCGTCAGCCTAGCTCACAGCAACCTCAATCTCCTGGGCTCAAGCGATCCTCCTGCCTCAGCCTCCCGAGTAGCTGGGACTACAGCCATGTGCCACCATGCCCGGCTAATTTTTTCTATATATATTAGTTGGCCAATTAATTTCTTTCTGTTTATAGTAGAGACGAGGTCTCGCTCTTGCTCAGGCTGGTTTCAAACTCCTGACCTTGAGCAATTCACCCGCCTCGGCCTCCCAGAGTGCTAGGATTACAGGCGTGAGCCACCTCGCCCGGCCCAACACTGACTTCTTATCAGAAACAATAGGCAAGTCTGAAGACAATGGAAAGACATATTTATATATTGAAATAGAAACTCTTTTAGAAAACAGGAAAGTTCTCAACTCATTTTATGCAGCCAACATTACCCTGAGAGCAAAACCAGACAAAGATATTATAAGAAAAGAAAACCACAAACCAATATCCCTCATGAAAACAGATGTCCTAAATCCTTAACAAAATATTAGTAATTGAACCTTGCAGTCTATAAAAAGGACAATACATTATCCCAGGGTTTTATCCGAAGAGTTCAAGGTTGTTTTAATATGAAAATAATCAATGTATTTGACCTTATTTAACAGAATAAAGGTAAAACATAGTGTTTCAATAAATGCAGAAAAAGCATGATTCAAGGATAAAAACACTTAATATTTTAGGAGTGGAAGGAAACTTCCTTAACCTTACAAAGGATATGTGTGAATAACTCACAGAAAAGATCATACCATAACAGGGAAACACTGAACACATTCCCCATACAATCAGGAACAGAGCCAAGGGAACCTCTCACCTCTGCTTAACACCGTGCCGAAGATCCTAGCGTGTACCTAAGGCTAGAAAAAGAAAAAGAATCATGCAACTGGGAAAGTAAAAAGTGTAATTGACTTTACTTATGAATAACATGACTATATACATATAAAATCAAAATGAATCTACAAAGAAAAGTTCCCAGAAATCAATGAACTTAGCAAAATTGCCAGTATCAAGTCAACATATAAAAATATTGAAATGTTAGTATATCCATACAACAGAATGCCACGCACGCAGCAATAAACAGAATGAATTACTGAAATACTCAACAAGGTGACCGGATCTCGAAAACCAATGCACTGGACAAAAAAAGCCGACACGAAGGAGCACATATGGTATGATTCCATTTACATAATGTTCTAGAACAGGAAGACCCTGTCTGGAGTGACAGAAAGCAGACTGGTGGCTTCCTTGGGTTGGACAGATTGATTGCCAAGGGCCCCAAAGGAACTTTTTGGAGTGATTTTAAAAAAAAAAAATGTTCTGTATCTTTTCCGTGATGGGTACATTGGTGCATCGACATGTTTTATTGTTTGTAAACTATATATCCATAGAGTGGATTTTAATCACTGAAATGTAGGTATCACCTCCTAAGCAGAAATCCACTTAATGATTTGAGCTGCTGGTAACTAATTTACTCAAAGCAGTTAGAGTCCTGGCTTCACGCTGCTTCTTGCACTCTGCTGGGGGACAGGGACTCCATCTGGCACCCTGGAGGTGGTGGCAGCAACGCAGGGCCCGGAGGATTGGGGGAACAGAGGACAGTGGACAGAGAAGCTATGCAAACGTTCATCCGTTCACAAGTCGCTCCTCATTGCTCGTGGGCCAGCTGGTGCCGTGGCAGGTTCCCTCCTTACTACCCTCAGTGGGATCCTGTAAAGCTCCTCTTTCTAGAAAGGATGATACGAAAGCCTCAAATTCAAGGAGACCCTCTTGCTCTCTTCTGCTTCTAGTAGAATAAGTTGGGTTACATTTAGATTTTACTTGCAGTTGAATCTTGACAGTATGTTCATAGCCCTCGCAGAAATGTTACATTGAGATTCATTTATACAATAAAGACAGTTGACCTTTGAACCACATGGGGGGATGGGGGCACTGACCCCCTCCCCCATGCAGTAGAGAATTCATTTATAACTTTTGACTCCCCCAAAACTTAACTACTAATAACCTACTATTGACTAAAAGCCTTACCAGTAATATAATCTGTCAGTTAACACATGTTTTGTATGTCGCATGGATTCTATACTATATTCTTATAATAAGGTAGGCTAGAGAAAAGAAAATGCTGTTAAGAAAATCATAAGGAAGAGAAGATATATTTACTGTTCATTAAGTGGAAGTGGATCGTCTTAAAGGTCTTCATCCTCATCATCCTCACATTGGATAACAGAGGAGGGATGGGCCTTCCTGTCTCCGGGGTGGCAGAAGTGGGAGAAAGCTCGTGTGTAGGCAGATCCACGATGTGCTTGTAGCTGGGAATTAGACATTGATAAAAGCGCACCTTGTGGTGGGAAAATGGGTTCAATTCGAAAGACCTGGTCTGTTTCTAGTCCCGATCGTGCCCTATCATTTTGGAGTGACCCTGAACAAGTCACGTGACTTCTCGGGGCTGCTTTCAAATTTCACTTTTAAGAATGTCAAGTATTCCAGCAATGATTTCCAGCCTGACAGCCGTTGTGAGCATCCACTGCTGACCAGACCCCGGCTTTACGTGAGCTTGTCTGTGGGATGTGGGCAGATTCATTGCCCCATGGCGCCCCACGGGTCATGGCACGGTGACATCCCCTGTCCATCCCAGAGCCTGTTTCTTAGTCCATGATGCCATCCTTAGAGGCCAGTCAGACTCATCGGAGGAGTGTTAGAAATTCCCAGTGCTCAGGCTGCACCTCAGACCAGTTAAATCAGATTTTCTCAGGGGTGGGATGCAGGTGTTTGTGACTTTTAGACCCGTTTAACACGTTAACTGCCGTGTGAGTTGTATTTAACTCATGCTAGTTTTGAGCCCAGGGTCTCATGAAGCGTATGTAACTCACACATCCCTTCACCTTAGGGGCTGTGTGAACTGTTTTTCAAGTTGCATATAACTCATGCACAGAAAACAATAAAAAATGACAAACTTTTTATTAAATTAGAAAGGATCATTTTGTTTTCAAAGCTCTATTTTTGTAATAGAACACCGTGGCTCCAAGGAAACATTTGCTTTTCTAGTGTGGCAGTCAGTGTGTTAATTATCTACTCATTTCCCTTATATACTAGTCATCACTCAGTCCCCTTTCCCTTCAAAGGCGATAGCTCTGTGGGATTTGATACATGGCCTTGAATTTGAGTGTATTGTTTGGATAGCAGGTAGCGTTGCGCGTGTATTTATTTGACTTATATGTACGGTGCTGCCATGTATGTAGTCTTACCCATCAGGGCAAGGAGTGGGGCCTGAGAGCTGAGCCCAAGGCATATCTGAGTCCATGGGTCACTGCACATTTCTACCATTTTAAAAAGAATTTTAAATTCTCCAATCTTGCCTGTTATTATCAACACCACTGCTCGATTCAGTTTATTCGTTCCATGGATATTTCTTCAGTTTCTACTATGTGCCAGGCTGGGTGTCCTGGAGATTGTGTGGAGAGCAGAAATGAACCAGGCGGAGGGAAAAGCATTCTAGGAGGTGGGGCTGGCAGGTGCAAAGGCCCTGTGGCAGAAAGAAGCCTGGCCAGTCAGTAGAACTGAACGGATGCGTATGGCTAGAGCAGAGAGTACCAGGTGCATGAGAGCCATGTGGGCGGGAGGCAGATGCCCAGCACCTGATGGACAGGCTGTAGCTGCAGAGGAAATGAGAGGAAGTCATCCTCTGCGTACTGCCTCCAAAAATGAGGCCTTTTAGCAAAATATTGACCGACCGACTGTGGTTTTTATGACCACAATAAAAAGACATTAGCAAAAGCAATGTGAGAGCGCGGATGGTGGGTCATACAGAGAAAGTGACCCAGGAGAGGCACATTTTTATTGGTGCCACCCCAGACAAAGCCACGGGCCGTACCCAGGGTCACGCTCCCTGGTAACAATAGCTGCCGCGTGCTCAGGGCTAGATTGGCGCCACGCACTGTCGTAGCCACTTTATTTTATTGTCTCGTGAGACTCCATGGCCAAGCTACGAGCCAGGGGCTCTTCCTCCCCTTTCGGAATGGATGGATGCAGAGATGCATAGCTTGCCCGGGGTGACACAGCTACGAGGGGGCAAGACTAGACCTTGAACCTAGGCCACTCCGTCCCCACGCAGTGCTGACGTTGGAACCTAATGGCCAGCAGGCAGTGACACAGTTAGATCGAGTCCCCTTCGCTGCACACAGATGAGGGACAGTCGACACAGACGTTGTCACTCCCTCGAGGTGACACATGCTCGTTGTGAACCAGCCCACGAAACCAGAAAACAAAGGAAACAATTGAGATTTGCTAATTGCCACTTCCAGGGACTTGAGGGACAATAGGACAGGCAGGATGTCCTTACCGCTATTGATGCCGACAACACAAAGTCGCTGGACGGATGCGCTGTTAGAATATTGTCCCACCCCGAGGACTCAAGTGTTTGACTAGATTCCTATGAAGCCCGTTGTGAGCTCCCATGTCCTGCACTGTCTGGGCTGAGAAACAAGAATGTTCTGGAAATAATATGCAACTTGTGGGCTTCTGTAATAACAAGCAACCTACCTCATATTCAGGGATATTAGTGCATTGTCAAGAGCCTTGGGCTTGGCCGGGCGAGGTGGCTCACGCCTGTAATCCTAGCACTCTGGGAGGCCCAGGCAGACAGATTGCTCGAGGTCAGGAGTTCGAAACCAGCCTGAGCAAGAGCAAGACCCCGTCTCTACTATAAATAGAAAGAAATTAATTGGTCAACTAATATATATAGAAAAAATTAGCCGGGCATGGTGGCGCATGCCTGTAGTCCCAGCTACTCGGGAGGCTGAGGCAGGAGGATCACTTGAGCCCAGGAGTTTGAGGTTGCTGTGAGCTAGGCTGACGCCACGGCACTCACTCTAGCCTGGGCAACAAAGCGAGACTCTGTCTCAAAAAAAAAAAAGAGCCTTGGGCTAATCTAGAATCATCACTGGATCATCACAGGATGTTCCACCATCAACATCCTGCTAGTGTCCACACAACTACTGCCTGAGGGTCTGTGACTCCATGGTGTTTGGTCCGTAGACCCCAACAAATGAGGGGCGCAGACTCTATAACTTATACTCTGAAATATTCCATAGTCAAATCGGAATTGAGTCCCTATTCCAGGGGTCCTCAAACTTTTTAAACAGGGGGCCAGTTCACTGTCCCTCAGACTGTTGGAGAGTGTGCACTGTGGGCCCGGGACGAGTCGGCTGCTAAGCAGGACAAGCAACAGCAGCAAAAACACCCAGCGGGCCGGATAAATGTCCTAGGCAGGCGGCATGTGGCCTGCGGGCCGCAGTTTGAGGACACCTATAGCAAGCAGTATTTCTTGTAGCCCCCCCAAGGAAAGTGCATGCCCCGGGGAGTCTAAGTAACACACCCAAAGTCTCACAGCGATCTAGGGAGAGGGTAGGTGTTTCATCCAAAGTCTTCTCCAAAGTCTTCTTGGCTCCAAAGCTGAGGCCATTGGCTGTTGCTATAAAAATAAGTGCATGAGAGTTTATGCCTGTTGTCCAAGGTGCACTGACCAGGGTACAGAAATAAGCCTATGTTTTGCAGACACCAAAGCCTGGTTGTCGGTCAGCTGCTGAAACTCAGATGCTGGCTGAAGAAGCGAGCGACATTATCTACTGTCTCTGTTCCCTTCCCTGAAATAAATGCAGGCTCGGCTGCAGGGCTGTTCACCCTGAGCTACCTCTGAAAGCCTGCAAGGCGTTCAGGCCCCAAGACGCCAGGCAGACAGGGCCCACTGAGGGCGATTTCTTTTGTTCCGCAGCTGCAGAACCAGGAGCTGCTAAGGGCGATGATGAAGAAGGCCGAGCTGGAGATCAGCGGCAAGGTGGTGGAGACCATGAAGCGGCTGGAGGACCCCGTGCAGCGCCAGCGTGTGCTGGTGGAGCAGGAGAGACAGAAATACCTGCACGAGGAAGAGAAGATCATCAAGAAGCTGGGGTGAGTGTTCCCAGTCACTTGTCGCACGTTGGCAAATTGTCTTTGCCAACAAGGAGGTCCGTCCCAGTGGCCGTCCTTCTTTCTTTATGGAAAAACCTATTAATGTTACATACAAGTTCAAGTTCTGCTGGCGCTGGTATCCACGCACACTTAGCACCCCTCCTGAGGCCCACCCAGGAAGTTCAGTCGTCCTCCGTCCCTTAAAGAGACGACCGAGCTGGTGTCTTTAGAAGTTGCGGTGTCACACTCTTTCCTGGGAATCAGCAACACATACAATTAAAAGGAGGGAATGGCAAAACTCAGTGATAAATGGGCAGTGTGTATTTAATCTCATTAAATTAAAACGAATGGCCAAAATAACACGGCACTAAAATTATCCTCCTATTATTCAACTGTAGCTAAAATCGCAAAAGAAGAATTTAAATGTAAAGCGTACCTGATCCAGAATGAAAGATGCCTCCTTGCACAGTATGATCGTTATTTAAGGCTCTTATTGAAAGCATCTATCAAGTCCTGCCATGGAAATGAGCAGAGTTTTATTAATCCCCCGTCTGGAAGCAGGCACATCTTTTATGTTAATGTATGTTTTCTTAGGCAATGAAGAGTGATCATAGAACCACTTCCCCTTTTAGAATAATAAATAGTCATTTTAGGGGGTTCCTCTAGTGTTGATAATTCTCTTATTTCTTGGAAAGCTTCAGTTGCCCAAATCCAGGTTATAACGGAGCAACTTGCAAATTCCCATGATCAGAAGGTCCAGAAGTTTCCGTGATGGGTTGTGCTGTGTCGCCTGTCTTACGTTGGCGCTGTAGCCTATAGCACCCTGGATGCCAAGCCGATGTGCTTGATTAAAACTAGAATTTTCCTCTCAGTAGTCAAGAGGGAAAAAAAAATGATTTCAAGTTATTCCTTTCCTAAGAAATTAAATTAGACCGGCTGTTCATCCACATCTCAAAATAGCTTCTAAAATTTTACTTAATTCACACATTATAGACAGAATTAATCACCCACCATGAGTTTGTAAAGCTATTATTTGTCTGAAATGTTTATGTGACAGCCCAATTATCTAAAACTCAGTCTCAAAATTCTTTCTGAAAACTCCTTTAAAAGTAAGTACACTTACTTTTTATAATATTTTTACAAATTTTCCAATAAAATTACAAAAAAAATAATTTTCCTTCCTTTAAGAATTGTGTTTATTGGCGAGCTGAGATAACTCTTGCTCCTGGCCTACAAAAGCCATCTTTAAGATTAATAATGTCCTGAGACTAGGAGCCCAGCATGGGAATGAGCCAGGAAAGGTAATGGAACGAGCTTGTCCTAAGAGGACTTTATCTGGTTGGATTTTGCAGTGGCCACAAATGAGTAAGATATACCCAGGGCCCTTGGGAAACTATAGTCTAGCAAAGCAGAACATACAATAAATGTGAGTACTACAGCACAAAATCGGAGATTCACAGGTGCCAGGCGAACCTACACAAAGGAGAGACTGCTCCCGACCCCGATGATCTGGAAGACGTAGTCTGAATTTGATCATTCGTCATAAGGTCCAAGGCCACACATGGTAACATGCACATAGTAATTTCAAAAATGGTTTCAAGATGGCCTGGAAGATGGGGCATTTCCTCAGCAGAGGTGAGAGAGAGAGGGCCTTCCAGGCATAGGAACCCTACAGACCAAAAAGTCTCTGGACCCAGAAAGCAAGGATGTCCTTGGAGAATTGGGGGTGGTCCAGTTAGGTGGGCAAGTTGGGTGCATGGTACTAATATCATCTCCTATGTGGGTTGTACCATTCCCATTTGCACGGCGCCTTCCCCATATCTTAGCCCACACTCCAGGCTTGGACACCTGCTTGATGCCTGTCCAGGCTGAGCTTACTGAGACTGGAAGATCATGGAACAGAAACCTGGATTTCTGGCTTTTCATGAATGTTCCTGGCTCCAACTCCAGATTCCCAAGTTCTCTGGATGGAATTTAGGAATCTGTGGTTTACAAAGTGCCACGGGTGACTCTGAAGCTCCTTGACATTTGAGAGTTAATGCCCGGCATGATGAGCAAGTTACCGAGGTTGTCTTGATCAAGGAATCAGCAAAGTCAGGGCTGTATTTGAGAGAGGTCCCTCTGGTGACCTTGTGCAGGGCTTACTCGGGGGGGGAAAGAGATCAGGGTCTAGGAGACCACATTGGATCCTACTGTCTAGTCCAGGCAAAAGGCATGAACCAACCAGAAGAAATAGGAATAGAAAAGAAACTACATGCAAAATGCACTAAAGTATGATCACCTAAAACTAGAGTTCTTTAAGACGTCTTTGGCCGGGCACGGTGGCTCACGCCTGTAATCCTAGCACTCTGGGAGGCCGAGGCAGGAGGATCTCTCGAGGTCAGGAGTTCGAGACCAGCCTGAGCAACAGCGAGACCCCGTCTCTACCAAAAAATAGAAAGATATTAACCAGACAACTAAAAATATGTAGAAAAAAATTAGCCGGGCATGGTGGCACATGCCTGTAGCTACTCGGGAGGCTGAGGCAGGAGGATGGCTTGAGCCCAGGAGTTTGAGGTTGCTGTGAGCTAGGCTGACGCCACGGCACTCTAGCCCAGGCAACAGCTCAAGACTCTTGTTTGTTTCTCAAAAATAAAACAAACAAACAAAAAAAGATGCATTTAAATATATATATATATATCTCCTATGAGTAATAACTGATTGGATGGATAAGTCTAAGAGCCAAGAGAGCATGTTACAAAAGGCAGCTGGAAATTTCAACTCTGGAACATCAGGAGGAAGGCGATCTCTCTCTTTCCCTCCCTCCCCTCCCCCTTCCCTTCTTCCTCCTCCTCTTCCTCTCTCTCCTGCCCTGCACTACAAAGGGAGTCCCCCTTATAGAGCATGTTGGGCTGAGTCGCTGGTGAGCCCTTCATGAGGCAGAGAGATGAAATTTGGGTGTAAAACTCTGGAAAGAAATTGGGTCCAGATCATTCTACATGGAAATAATAGTTGGGCTTCTAATAACAGGTGAAATATATTTTAACAAGCCTTACGATTCTTTTTAACAACGGTAGAATGATAAGCCACTAAAATAGAATGTGAACAACTGTAGCATCCGTGAACGCGTGACATTCTGTTGAGCAAACTGATATGTTAAAAGTCATATTGATTACCATATCAAAAATCTATTTCAGCGTTTGTTTTACTCCCATCGTGTCTTTTACATTTTCAAATTAATAAATGTGATTGTTAATGCTTAATCTAAAAGAGGTATCATAAACGTACGCACAGAAGTGACATTGTTGTGTACAATCACATCAGCACGTGTTTCTCTATAAAGCTGTGAGGTTTAGGGTCTCTGTGTACAGAGCGTATAGAAGAGATTAAAATAGAATTTTAGGCAGGCTAACTTTGGGTCAGATGACATCTCCTTGTGGTGTTAATTGCAAACTGGCAGGCTTGTCGGTTGTTAAGAGAACCATGATAACATTTGGGTCTTAGCTCTTCTGTTAAAGCTTTGCAGGGCTGGACAGCGCGTCCAACCAACACATGGAAACGGGCTGCTCATGCAACGGAAAAGAACGTCTGCGCACGAGGGCCCCATATTTAGAGCTCTTAAGAGGGAAGGTGCACAACCTCTCCACCCGAGGACGCAGTGGCGGAAGGAAGTTTCCAGTGGGTGTGGTCACAGACCACTGGGCACCTTTCTGTAGCTCCTAACCGTGGACCATGAGCACGTCAGGCTTTCTTCCTCTTTGGTCTTGAAAGAGCATCATTTCTTCTCAAATGACCATAAGCCGTTTTGGTCCGTTTTCCAAACAGAATGAAAGGCGACACCAACAACTCCGTCCCACTTCGTGGACACGGGTACATGTGTCGGTTGCCCCGTGGTTCTTGAACACGTGGGCGGTCCCGCGTGAATCCGTCCCCCACGGCAGCCACACGCTTCACTGCCCCGTCCACTTACCCGCCTCTTGGAGAGGGTCTTCTCGGCCATCTGTCTACACTGTGCTGTCTACACTGTGCCTGCCTTTTTCTCTTCCCACTGCCAGAGCCACATGCGTCACACCCGGGGCTGCAGGAGGTAGAACTGCTGTCACTTACTGCCACCTAGTGGTTCTTCGTTTCTCAAAGTTCTTTTTCGCTTTTTTCTTTGCAAGATTTTCTCTCTCATTGGATTTACAGGCAAACTGAAACCATGCAGACACGTGTTTAGGATGGGGGGTTAGCAATGTGCCCGGAGGGAGGTGGCGGTGGTTTCACGTGGAGAACCTTAAGCTCGCTCTGCTGGGGCTGGCATCCCCCTCTACCCGCCACACAGGCACCCCAAAATCGGATCCGTAGTCATCTCTCCTCTCTCTGTAGCTTGGAAAGGAAAGAGTCCAGCCTTCGCGATCGGACAGTCCGTAGAAACCAGAGGTTCTCACTCAGCAGCAATTTTACTCCCTCTTCTCCCAGGGACATTTGACAATATCCGGACACAGTCTGGGTTGTCACAAGTTACGGGGCAGTGGGGAGAGGTTGCTGGGGGCGTCTAGCAGGTCCAGGCCAGGGCTGCTGCTAAACATGCTACAGTGCACAGCACGGTCCCCCCAGCAAAGAATTATTTGGCCCAAAATGTCAAATGCCAAAGTTGAGAAGCTTGAGAGAAACTAATACGGGCTGCTTGTCTTGCTCCAGTATAGGTTTTCTTTCCTGTCCCTTCTCCCCTCCCCTCTTCTCTCCCTTCCTCACTGCGTCTCTCTCCCTCCCTCCCCCCTACATACTAAGTGCACCCCCCTTGGCTGACCACTGGAAGTGAAGAGTGGGTCCCCATTGGCCAGGTGCAATCTCCTCCCTCTGGCCCCCCACGCACAGGCCCTGGGGACCCTCCTTGCACCTGCCTCACCCCTGCAGAACGTTCCAAGCCGAGCAAGCTGCCGTCTAGGATGCGTGCCCAGCCCTAAGTGGGAGGCAGGGGAGGCGCAGACGGGCACTCAGTGTAGACGGCCACTCGGTGTAGACGGGCACTCGCGTCTGCCCCTTCCCGCGTGAGGACCCTGCCCAGCCCCGCGGCCGTCTGCCTTCTCCCCGCAGCGAGCTGGAAGACTTCGTGGAAGACCTGAAGAAGGACTCCACGGCAGCTGGCCGGGTGGTGACGCTGAAAGACGTGGAAGACGGGGCGTTCCTCCTGCGACAGGTGGGAGAAGCCGTGGCCACCCTGAAAGGTGAGCGTTCAGCTTGGGGGGGGGACTCCCAAGTGGCTTTCCTGGGGTGTCTGAAAGTCCGTCAAGTCGTGACAGTGAGAACCTGTCAAGTCCACTCATGCATGCAAATATTTATCAAACACCTACACGTGCCATCGCTGTCCTGGGCGTTTGGGACCAGTCTCAGAATGAAGAAGGCAAACACCCCTGCCTTCTTGGAGCTGCGGTAGTGAGTGCTGTGAGATTTCAGACTAAATGACGCTAGTGACACTTCCTATGCTCTTGCAGTCTTCCGGGACACCTGTGTCAAACTCTGTTCTTTCTTTTTTTTTTTTTTTTCTTAGAGACAGAGGCTCGCTCTGTCGCCCAGGCTGGAGTGCAGTGGCATCATCATAGCTCACTGCAGCCTCCAACTCCTGGGCTCAAGTGATCCTCCTGCCTCAGCCTTCTAAGCAGCTAGGACTGCAGGCACACACCACCATCCCAGCCTAATTTTTTTAAATTTTTGGTAGAGACAGGGTCTCACTATGACGCCCAGGCTGGTCTCAACCTCCTGGCCTCAAGTGATCCTCCCTCCTCGGCCTCCCAAAGTGCTGGGATTACAGGCGTGAGCCACCGTGCCTGACCTCAAACTCATTAAAAAGCAACCCTAAGAGTCTGTTGGCCTCAGCCCAAATATGCGGATAGGAAATGGGCCTAGCGGAGCTTTGCCCTTGCCCAGGGTCACTTTGCCGGGCGCCCTTCTCTGTTCTTAACCCAACACCTCCTGGGGTGTTTGAACTGGCTGTGGCTCGAGAGCTCTGCGCTTCCCTACAACCCTGCCTGGCGTCTTGGGGTGCGGGACGGGGCTTGTCCTTCTGGGTTTTTCTCCTGCAATTCACCGGCTGCTCTGGGCCTGCAGGAGAGTTCCCGACCTTACAAAACAAGATGCGGGCCATCCTGCGCATCGAGGTGGAGGCCGTGCGCTTCCTGAAGGAGGAGCCGCACAAGCTGGACAGCCTGCTGAAGCGCGTGCGAGGCATGACCGACGTCCTGACCGTGCTGCGCAGGTGACCGGCCCGCCGGGCGGGGGGTGGCCTGCGGGGGGTGGCGGTCTCGAACTGCAGCCTCCCACCACGCTCCCGGGACCGTCCCCATTTCTGTGACTCACCAGGTCTTCTTCCCAGGGTGCTGGAGAGAAGCCGCGAGTCCGCGCCGCCCTTGAACTTGAATGGCATGATGGCCTCGAGGTTCCAGTTCCCCACCCCAGGCTTGCTGTGGGGGGCCCCTCCTAGGGTTTAAAATTAGTAGACACAGTAAACATTTTTTAAAAATCATTCTAATGTGGGCTTTTTAAAATAACATTTTGAAGTTGGAAGAGTGGATCAAAGTAGTTTATTAACCTTTACTTTGGGACATGGGAGACTTCAGTTAGAAGACAGTTGAGTGGAAGCTAAGAAAGCCTTTCTTAAATTACCTACCGACAGTGTCCGAGCGGTTGCGGGTCCCACCTAGAAAAGAGAGACAGACTCAGCTGAGTGGCATGGACCTCTGCCCATCGACGAGGTCACAGTGGCGGAAAGAACAAAAGAAATCATGACTCATGCCTGACTTTCACTGAAAAGAAAATTCTAGAACTCCATACCCACTTGCTGGCATACGTGTGTGGGATTTGTGTTGCTGGAAGTATCTCTGCAAATGACATCCCAGACTGTCTCGTGCCCTGTCGTCCAGTTATAATTAGATTTCTTTCTTCCCAACATCATGATGACATGACTTACCCCAGTGAGCACGTCTGTGTATCAGACGCTGAACTGAGAACTTTATATTTATTAGCTCATTCAGTCCTAATTAAAAACCCTGTAGGGGCAGGCGCTGTTACTCCCATGTTATAGGTAGAACCTGAGGTCTCAGGATAGTCCCTGCAAATCCGAGGGGCAGCTCGGCTACAAACCCATAGTTGGACTCCAAAATTCGTACTGGTTCTCGTGCCCCAGCCAGGCTGTCGCTAAGAGCCATTCTCGGTGCCAGCCCTACTGTGGGTATCACAAATCCAGTAGCAGACAAGACAAACGGGACCCCTGCCTTGTCAAACTTAACTTTCTCACGTGGGAACTAGACACCGAACAATAACCGAAAATAAACCCTTCCCAGCAGTTGACAGTCCCTGAGTTTTTTAGCAGAACTAGGAACTTGCCCTTCAGATCTTAGACCAGAGTTGAGAGCAGGTGCACAAACAGGTGTAACATACAAGAAACCTGCTGGTGAGAATTTCAACCCCTAACTGTCATCACTTGATCAGATCTGTAAGAGAAGTATACTAAGTGTGCAGATAACTTTAAGATGAATTATTAACCATAAGGAGTAAGTTAGTTGTTTCTAGTGATGAAGGACGTCAAGTAAGAGCCCCTCTGAGCTGGCAACATTCTGCAACTGGGTGTAGTCACCCCTGTAAGTTGCAGGATGCCAAAGGAATTTCGAATTAAAATGAAAAATGCCCCATCCTACGGAGTCATTATCTAACCCTGTACAGGAAGAAATTGTACCGGTATTAAATTTTCTTATGGGCTCACTCATTTTAAATGGCCAAAACGAACTGTTTCTTCCAGTGGGAGAAAAATCTGTCAAAAGAATTCTTCACTAAGCTCTGACCTAAGTGTGGCGACCCACCCACGGAGCCTGGAAACAGCTGCCCTTATTAAATAAACTATGGCAGGTCACGCTGCCCCACTCTCGGTTCTCCTTCCCAAAAAAAGAAAAAGATGCTTTTACAGCAGGAGGGATGAAGCTCAGTGTTTGTCTTATCTCCGGTGAACGCAAGTTCTAGAAGAAGATGGGGTTGTGTGTTTTGAATGTCATGTGATGCTTTGTCCCATTCAATTCTGGGTGGTGAGAGTGAGACCTAAAGCCAGTTAAGCCACTTTGGAAATACAAATGCAAGGAATTTGGGCTGCCATCAGACTCCCCTGTGCGTCTCCCCTGAGACACACGGGAGAGCAGACAGAAGGAACTGGAACGCAGGCTGCCCTCCCAGCATGCTTGGCGGGGGGCAGGAAAGCCAGAGGGCTCTGAGGGAGCTGTTGGGTTGGAACTGAGGGTACTCGAGGGACGGGGTGAGGGGTTAAGGGGAGTGTCGTCAGACTCAAGGTGTCCACTTCCTGCCACCACCCAAGAAATGACGGAGTCGCAAGAGTGTGGGCACAGCAGTGCCCGCGACAAGGATGTTCTGATAGATACCCCTGAGCTGCTGTTCCAAGTTTCGGGGTGTTTGGCTCTCCCCTGGCTTTGGGATGCCATAGCGGTCAGGTGCACCTCGGCGGTGACAGGGAGGTGATGGGTCCTAAGAGCTAACGCTGCCGTGCGTGGTTTCTCCTAGACACGTCACCGACGGGCTGCTGAAGGGCGCAGACGCGGCCCAAGCGGCGCAGTACGTTGCCATGGAAAAGGCCATGGCGGCAGAAGTGTTGAGGAGCCAGGAGGAGGCGACCCATACCTCCAGCCAGCCCCTCCACGGCGCAGGCGTCCCCCGCGACGCGAAGTCGGAAGGGGTCCCCATGTCCGGCGTGACAGCACACCATGCACAGAGCCCCCAGCTCTCGTCGGCCCTGCTGAACCCCGCGCAGGGCCTGCCCCGCACAGCCAGCCCCCCAGCCGGCACCCGGGAGGCGGCCACCCTGCACCCCACGCCGGCTGCACAGTCCCCACAGACGCCGGCCAACGGGGCCACCATGCAGAGCCTGTTCATCGAGGAGCTCCACGGCGTGGGTGCCAAGAACAGGGCCATGTCCATTGAGGTAGAGTCCGGTTTCCGTTTCTCATAACCCCATAGGGAGACTGCCACCTGATCCTTTCCCTCCAAGAGTTTGCAGTCTGGTTTGTAGAGATGATGTGTACAGGGATCGGAGATATTTTTTTGGAACTAGAAATGCGATTCAGTGGCCAGGTTAAGAGACAGGTTATCCGGTTTTCAAGAAGGGTGAAACACCTAACTTGTAGGAAGGTGGGGCAGTGGTGTGCTGGTAAATGTTTAACAGATGGCTCTCTCAGGGGAAAAGCCCTGATGTGTAGCATTTGCCAATTTCCCTGGTGTAAATATTGCCCCGCATGGCTGATCTCAAACTACACCCTGATGCCATCGCACATGAAGTTGGGAAGAAATGTGACAATCAACTGTCCTAAGCCAGAGGCAAGCTGGCTCAAGCATCCCACTGCGGTGAAGGCAGGACTGGGAGGATTTTCCACCGATCTGGGAAGATAGTGGGATCCAGGTTAGCAGAGAAGGGTGGTGAGGCTGCAGGAGCAAAGGCCGGGACCATGAGTAACCCTGTCTAGGTAGAACAAGGAAGAGAAGAAAAGCTGAGAGAAATAGGCTGGAGTCTGACTTGAGAAAGCTTAGAAACTATTCCAGGGTGTCTCAAGTTTACTTTGAAGGTATCAGAGAAATGCTACAGTTCTAATCCGTGATTTTTTTTAAGTGACATCTTTAGGAAATTTATCCAGAAACAAGATACAGAATCGGTTGAGGTGGTGGGTCTAGGGTTAAGGGAGCTGGATGAGAAGTTATTGTAGTCACCTGAGAATGAAAGGTACAGGCAATCAGAACAGAAAGAGAAAGGTAGGTCTTGGGTCAAACAACGTGGAGAAAAAGACCCGCCATGCTTTTAAATGTTTTTATGAAGAGCTGGCACCAATGCACAGATAACACATTTCATGTCCCCAGCCTTCTTTCCTCTGCTCTATAACTTTCCTCCACTCGCTACCCCCAGCAACTTGGTCCTGGCCCTTCCCGCCTCTCTTGAAAGTCACCAGTGAGCAACTCGGGTTGGGCACATTGAGATGAACTCACAAGACACCTGCCATCGTGGCCATGGCATCATGGGAGGGGACGGAATGTGATTGGCCGAGTGTGATTTTTTCCCTGTGCCTAGCAGAGCAGGCGAGGAAAATACATCTTCTAAAAACCAGTGGATCCGTCACTTAAGACAACTCACCACTTTAATTAACCATCTCAATATTTAAAGGATGTCAGTGTGATGCCTCTTTTATTTAACAAATATCTATTAAGAAGCTAGCGGGCATAATTATTGTGGTGTGTGTTTTAGGTTTTGCGAAGAAACTTGTGAGTCTTCTGAAGATGCCCTATCTCCAAGTGAAGCTGCCTGGGTTTTTCTGCCAACTCCACCACTAACGATGGGGGCAAGCTTGCTTTATTCAACAGAGAGTACTTAGCCCCACACGGCCCCAGCCCTCGTAGGCTCTGGGGGTGGACAGAACAGAAGAGGCAAAGTCTCTGTCCTTGAGAAACTTACCTACTTGAGAGAGAGAACAAGTATATGCCAGGTGTCCATAAATGCTAGTAAGAAAAATCAAGGACGACAAGGATGGTGGAGGTGGTGGATGTTATTTCTAGAGAGTGAATCTTTGGCAAACTCTTCATCTCACCGGGCCCTAAAGTTCCCATATATAAAATGTGTAGATTCATCACGCCTGTAATCCTAGCTCTCTGGGAGGCCAAGGCGGGCGGATTGCTCAAGGTCAGGAGTTCAAAACCAGCCTGAGCAAGAGCGAGACCCCGTCTCTACTATAAATAGAAAGAAATTAATTGGCCAACTGATATATATATATATAAAAAATTAGCCAGGCATGGTGGTGCATGCCTGTAGTCCCAGCTACTCGGGAGGCTGAGGCAGGAGGATCGCTTGAGCCCAGGAGTTTGAGGTTGCTGTGAGCTAGGCTGACGCCACGGCACTCACTCTAGCCTGGGCAACAAAGCGAGACTCTGTCTCAAAAAAAAAAAAAAATGTGTAGATTCAGTGATATTTTCTAATATTCACATTATGGGGTTCTACTACTCTGCTGTGAATTTCCACTTTGCCCTCCTGGAATAATTAATGTGCTGTCTATAAAATCAGAGGAAAATGTTATTGTAAAAAGTATACAGGTTGCTGGGCATGGTGGTTCACACCTATAATCCCCAAACTTTGAGGGTGGCCAAGGCGGGACAATCACTTGAGGCTAGGAGTTCCAGACCAGAATGGGCAACATTATATTTTTTGTCTGTATAAAAAAAAATTTTTTTTAAATTTGCCGGGTGTGGTGGTGCATACCTGTCGCTGTAGTCCCAGATACTCAGGAGGCCAAAGCAGGAGGATCACTTGATCCCGGGACTTTGAGGCTACAGTGAGCTATGGTTATAACACAGCCTGGGTGACAGAGTAAAACCCTGTCTCAAAAAAAAAAAAAGTGTACAGGTATTTAAAAATATATTTTACGTATATCTTCGTGTTGTAGAACTTGAAGCTACAGGTCATCTAAATAATACCCTTCCCCATATTTTATAAGTAAGACAATGTGATCGAGAAGGTCATATAGCAATTCTTTGATAGAAGTCAAACTGAGGCATAGGATTTTTTTTTGTTCTTAGTGTTTTAGTTTTTGTTTCTGTTTCTTCTAGTTTTTCTGTGTTTAGTTTTTGTTTCTGCAATGAAAACTCAGTTTGAAAAAGAAACACTTGGTGGTGGGAGGCATACCTTTGAAAGCATTATCAGTGTCTCTTTCTGTTTAGTATTGGTAGATGTACATGGTAGGTGCTCAGTAATGATTTAATGAATGAATTTGGGTTTCTGAGCTTGCTTCTCTGAATGAATATCACTGGGGCTTAAATGGCAGCTCACGTCACTATAGACGATATAGCAGACAGCAAAAGGGTCAGGTGGCCTGGACTTGGCAAAGTTGGTCTGATGTGCACAGAAACCAGGACGTTATTTCACCAACACTTCAACTGTGTCACGTCCCCTCCCCCCGTGTAAAATCTCTAAACCATTCATTAGCTTTCCCCTCCAGTTTTTAAGCTCTCTTCACCTGTTTTCCTTTAGAAAGCAGAAAGGAAATGGGAAGAAAAAAGACAAAATCTGGACCATTATAATGGGAAAGAGTTTGAGAAGCTCCTAGAAGAAGCTCAGGCCAATATCATGAAGTCGATTCCAAACCTGGAGATGCCGTCCACCCTGGGCCCAATGCCCAAGGGAGAGGCTGCGGTGGACAGGCCCGAACTGTCAGGTAAGGTCCGGTCCCGTGGCAGATGGTCACCCAGGGGCTGCCTGAGCGTGGCAGGACGGTGCCACCCGGCTCCACGTGCTGGACAGCAGCACCGATGTCTCACTTCGTCGCCATCTTTAGAAATGTCAGCTGGAAGAGCAGATCCTCAAGCATTCCGTACATCTCCATTACTGCTTTTTAACTCTAGCCACGGTAGGGAAGCCATGCTCTGTGTTAGAATACTAGAGCAATGCCCAAAAAAGGGGAATTTAAATTCCCACCTTCCGCATTTCCCATGCATTTCTGACACTTCGCGGCACCAGCTGGGAGAGTATGAGGCCTACGTTTAAAACAAGAGCTTTGTGTGTGCTTGCAGACAGAGCATGCAGCTTTTATGAGCCCCCAGGGGATATTAGATCATCAGGCAAAATTGTAGTTTTTTTCATCAAAATTATTAGAATGTATATTTAACCAAATCAACCATGGAAGTTAAACATCAACACGTCAATTCTAATGTAACATTTAAAAAACTCAACCTACTCTATCTCCCACCAATTACAAGCCACGTGCCTTATTCTGATCTTAAAACCATATACACAGACGTTCTTTTACTTGCAACCTGATGTCTCTGCAGTATCATATTCAACGATGCTCATTTAGCAACTAGAATTAATTTGAAAAGGAGTCACCATCTTGACTTGCATGTCAAGGAACATTAAAGTGGACTCGATTTATGACCACTATAGAGTCATTCCTCGGTATCCATGGTGGGGGATTGGGTCCAGGACCCCTTGGACCCCAAAATCCAAAGATGCTCAATTCCTTGATATAAAATGACATAGGATTTGTGTATAACCTGTGCACAGCCTCCTTCTACCTTAAGTCACTTGTAGGTAACTTACAATACCTAGTACAATGTCTTCCCATTACTTCCTTCTATGGTTTCAGTGTAGTGCCTGGCAGAAGGTAAGTTCAAGATTTGCTTTGGGGAGCTTTGTGGATTTTCTTTCTCTGAATGTTTTCCATCTTTGCTTGATGGAATCCAGAGGTGTGGAAGCCACATATACGGGGGACTGACTGGGCTTCTCTCTTCCCTGACCCTGCACTCACTGAAACTCTTCCCCCTCAGTCCGTGCTAAGAGGCTTTTCTCATGTCCCTCCCCATCTGCCAGCCGTGCTGGGCTCTGCAGGGCCCCTGGGTCGCCAGGCAAGAAGCTGTCCAGGGAGGTTAGGGGCCTTGGGAAGGGCAGCTCCTCCCTCCTAAGGATGGCTGTCTTCCCGCCATGCCCAGGGAGAGTTTCTGATGGAGAAAATGACCCACCCCGTTACTTGTCCATCTTGCCTAATTCTGTTCCCCCCATTGCAAATTCTGTCATTTAGACTTTCGATGTTTTCTATAGTTCTCATAACTGTTCTTTCTCATGATTGTACAACAAAAGTACATTACATTTTGTTGACTTACCTCGTTTTGACTTTTTATGCTTTCAGATTTGAAAAAATTTGCATAAATTATTTTGTAAATTACACCCCAAAGTGTTTTTACTCAGTTAAAATGTTCTACTTGGGGTTTTTTGTTTGTTTGTTTGTTTAATGCATGCTGTGATTTCTTCTCAGAAGGAGTCCGCTAATGGGCAGGCCACCAGAAATGTGTGAGGGTATCGTTCCATTACCATTATCGTCCAAACATTGGTTTCTACCCTTTTAATTTATTTGTTATGGATGTTATTATTTTTATGTATTTTTGTTTACTAATAAGGCACAAAACTCTAAGCTTAGAGTTTTAAAAGCCATTTGTGGTTCCTCTTGTGTGAACTGACTACTTAGATGACGGGGAAAGATTATTAGCTATCAAAAATCAATGGGAAATTTGGGGGATTGCAGCCTCAGTCATTGTCAAAGAAAAATTATTCACTGGGACACTTGTTAAAAACAGCAAGGAAGAGTTTATTCAAGAGTCTTGCAATAGAGGGCAGACACTGAACTCTATATCAAGGGTGGACAGATTCTCGTTTAAGGCAGGCCTAGGGCTTAGATAGCATGGATGGGGGAGAGGAACTTGCTCACACATTAAGAAAGGAGGAATTCTTGCTAAATTCTTGGCTAAACCTAGACACAGTGACCCGGTCAAAAAGAGGACACCAGGGAGCCTGACTCAAGTTTGATCGAGGAAAGAGTCTGTCCTCACCCACCCAATGAGAGAACTCATCACCTTAGGCAGGTCAGCCTGCACCAGTCCCTAGAGGGACCCACAGAGATGGGGTGGCTCTCCAGAGGCCCCACAAACTGCTGCACCTTGTCACCCAACACCTTTGTGCATGACAATCACTTGCTCTTCACCCTGAGGATGTCCCCAGATCTTTATTACAACGTTGGTCCCAGAAAAGAAACACACCCTCCTAGGAGACCAGGCCAGTCCCTAGAGAGCTGGAACAAAGCTCCCAGTCTGGAATTGCTGGCTCTGAAGCTCTGTTAGCCCCTGGGCACAGTGCTGATAAAGGGCAGAAGTGTGGCTGTTTTGTTGAGCTTTGAGTAAGGAACACCTTTCTCTGTGTCCTGGGCGGAAGGTGAGCAGATATCTGCGTCTCCTAACTTTGGGCTTCACGGTACTTTGTAGTCTCTCACTTTTGCATTTGCTGCCTCCCTTTGTTAGCAAAGAATCTCTTCCAATCACATAACCATGACCAAAAACCATCCACCTCCTCTCTGGCTTTGCTTTTTGTTGCCATTTGCATCCTATTTTCTCCCTGGCCCTCCCTTGGCCACGTTCTGCTCTAAAATCGGCCTGCAGGAATGCCTCTTGCTGCAGCTGTTTTTTCAGACTAGGGGGATAAGGTTTGGAGGCCACGCAGGGGGCTCTGGTTGTGGTTTTAGGCTCTGAGCTTTCATCTTTCCACGTAATATTCAGCTTTTTTGCATAACAAGAAATTAGTTTAATAATAATAGCTAATACTTTGCATAGCATTTATGATAAGCCAAGTGGTTATCATTTAATATATAAATCATGTAATTCATTTAATTAATCCTTATTATATATCATATGTATGATATAAATCATTTAATTAATCCTCACAATCCTCCACCCCAGTGGAAAGGATATATATTTTTTTGGGGGGAAGGGATATTAGTATAATACCCACTTAGCAGATGAGAACCCTGAGACAGACACAGGTTAAATAACTTGTGCAGAGTCTTTTGGAGATTTAAACCCACTCAGTCTTCAGGGACTATACCCTCAATCATTGCTCTAAGGAGAGAATAGAAAATTTTTAAGTCCGATTGCAATGAGTTTATAGCAATACACTGTTAGACTTTCTGGACATTGTCTTGAAAAGAGATGTTTTTTTCGTTTTTTTTTTTTAATACTATCATTCCTCTAATCCTTGAAAAGAGATTATTTTTGGAATGGCATATTGTTTTCCAGAAGACTCTTCAAATTCAGAACAGGACGTGGACAAGCTGGGAGGAAAGTCGCCCCCTCCCCCTCCCCCACCCCCTCGGCGGAGCTACCTGCCAGGATTGGGGCTCACCACCACCAGGTCGGGCGATGTGGTCTACACCGGCAGAAAGGAGGCTAGCAGCACTAAGGTCTGACGGGTTAAGCCCTGGGAAGCTGGTTTCTGGGTTCAGATGACACCCCTTGGGCAAGGTCCTCTCTGTTTGAACATAAAAAGTAGTGAGGCAGAGAAGAAAAGCAGTGGCTCAACAATACAAGATCCCCAGGGAGCGGGACGGATTGGGAAGTGGTGGCCAGTGTCATTGGACTAGACCAGGGGTGGGAACCTTTTCATGTTGGAAGGCCGCATTAATTTAGCTGTGATCAAATAAGGGTACATTCGAGAAACTTCAATTAGGTATACTTAAAAATGTACATTATTACTTAATTTCAAAGAATGAAACCTATTTGTTAATTTTAAAGTTAACTAGCCCTTTGATGACTTTGTTGCGTCTGGTTTTTGGTGGAAAGCATCTGAATATTTGGTTGCAGCATGGAGGTCCCAGTTTCAGTTAATCCTCTAGATGGGATCAGTCGTTTGTGACCTTAAGGGCGTGTTGATTTGGGCTAGGTGGGAGAATGTAGATTTGCAGCAATACGTAGTTGAAAAGCAAAAAAACATTTTTCAGGCCTGTTGCTAAAGGCATGGGTATTCTACTGCATTTCTCCATACTTCCGTCGGATCTTTCTTAGCATCACTGACTTTAAAATGTCATCTACTGAGAGCCCCATCGATTCCATCTGTAGTTCTCTAGGTGCCTTGGTGACATCAACTAGGTGAGGCCGAAATGCTAATTTGAGTGAGATGTCATGATTCTCAAAGTCAGTGACCCTTTCATTGTATTCTCCAATTAATAGCTCTTTAACTGCTGCGTATTTGCCAAATGATCCACATGTATCATCCTGCTCATCCATGACCTTTGCTAACTAGAGAAACTGTTCTTCCTGTTGAAGAAGAAGTATTTTGAAAAAAGATAACTTTTTCCAAAATGCTTGGGATTTTTGCCACATATCATATGTAGAATTAGTTTTACCTTGCAAAGAAATATGCAAGTCATTTTTTTTTTTTTTTTTTTAGACAGAGTCTTGTTTTGTCACCCAGGCTAGAGTGAGTGTCATGCCGTCAGTCTAGCTCACAGCAATCTCAAACTCCTGGGCTCAAGCAGTCCTCCTGCCTCAGCCTCCCGAGTAGCTGGGACTACAGGCATGTGCCACCATGCCTGGCTAATTTTTTCTCTCCATATTAGTTGGCCAATTAATTTTTTCTATTTATAGTAGAGACGGCATCTCGCTCTTGCTCAGGCTGGTTTTGAACTCCAGACCTCGAGCAATCCTCCCGCCTCGGCCTCCCAGAGTGCTAGGATTACAGGCGTGAGCCACCGCGCCCGGACCATTGGAGCTTATTTTATTCTCTGTATTTTAAGTACATTCACTTTTAAAATTAAATAAAAATATAAAAGACGAACAAAAATGTATTAATAAAAATAAAAGGATTTGTTCCATAAAATTTGGATTCAGTCAAAAGGCCTCACTTGGGGACCTTGAAGGCCGCAGGTTCCCCACCTCCGGACTGGACTCAGCACCTTGCCTTATTCTGACTTGACTTTTAGCTGCAACAGTGTGTTATAAAGGCAAATCGCTGGCTACATTCCAAGCAGGGCATCATAGGACTGAAAAGTAGGGGTAGGGGGGGAAGCTAAAGAAAGATCGTCTTACAAAGGTAACGGAGATTAGCCGGCCCAGGGAGGGGAGTCTATATGGAAAGATGTTCCAGTGTGCTTTAGATTTCCACTTAACCAGGCAAGTTTTATCTTGTATGTTAAATAAAATACAGTTTCCAAGGGCCTTAATATGGGAGTCCCTTTCCCTGAAGGCACTCAATGCTGAGGAGTTGCAATCACATTATAATTCTCTAGTCCATGCATGGAAATGACAGCGTATGCTAACAAAAACCCAAACTAAATGCGGGGGATAAAATGGCTTTTTGGCCACTTTATCAGCTGACAGCAGGAACGCCAGGGGCCCAGGCAGCGAGGGGCCGTGTGATCTGTCCCTTCTTTGCTAGCACATGGGAGGCATTGAGCCAACGTCCGTGGTTCGAATCTCCCGTAGGCGAGCAGTGGTGACGCCGGACCAAGCCCGCAGACCAGAGCCACCAAGTGTCCCCCGGACGAGCCCGCTTCAGCCTGGACCCCGTCCCCACCGCCTGTCACCACCTCGTCAAAGAACGAGGAGGAGGAGGAGGAGGAAGGGGAGAAAATAATGGCAGAACTCCAGGTATGTGGATGCAGTGACTGGCGTTGGCCCGTCCCTTGCCACGGGGACTCTCCGGCCACGGTGCTCACAGGTTTGTTAGCCAGAGAGGGCATCGCAGGGCCCCGTGGACTGGGGACCTCAGCGTGCCTGTGCGACACGTGCGGGGAATGACCATCTCGCAGGGCAACTCAGGAAAACTACACGGACGCACACGCCTTCCCATTTCTGCCTGTAGGACTCACTTTCCTTTCTTTCAGCCTTAGTGGTCTATGCTTCATCTCAGAAGCATTAATATGGGGATAGGATAGTGGCCATTGTTTTGTCTTGATGGGGACTGATCGAATCACGCCGTAGGTGGGTCCATGTCCTTTCGCTTTAACGTTGAGCATGACTGACCTCGAATCTCGGACTCAAGGCCGGTGACCGGCCGCCCATAGTCCACACCAGGTTCTGTTCAATGTCAACATCGTCTTTTCAGATACTCTGAAAAGCTGAATCATTATCTTTTCCATTTTCCTTGGTCTATTGGAGAAAAGATACCTTATTAGTTTTAGATGTTAATGTTTTAACTAATTGACTAATTAACTAATTGACTAATTAGTTTTAGATGTTAATGTTTTAACTAATTGACTAATTAACTAATCCTACAGTCTACTGGTAGGATTAAGGACAGGGCACTGGGGCTATACCCCAAACCAGTCCCACATTCAGATCGTGGGTGTGAATCTGCCCTGTGTTTATGTTCTAAGAACTCGTCTGATCAGAGACATGTACACGGTTCCTAGACCAAAGTCTGTCTGTAGAGTACGGTCGTCCCTCCGTACCTGTAGGGACATTGGTCCGGGGACCTTTCTCAGATACCAAAATCCACAGATGCTGAAGTCCCCGACATAAAATAACATGGTACTTGCATATAATCTATGCACATCCTCCTGTATACTTTAAATCATCTCTAGATTACTTATAATGTACCTATTACAACGTAAATGGTATGTAAATGGTTGTTATACTCCATTGTTCAGAGAATAATGACAAGAAAAAAATGTCTGCATGTGTCTAGTATGGATGCAATTTTTTTTCTGAATATTTTTCATCTGATGTTGGTCGAACCCACAGATACAGCCACAGATACAGAGGGCCTGCGCCTGCTGTATTTCATTTGACTCACCTTTGTTATAGGATTTTTCCACCAATCAGACAGTGAGACCACGAGCGCCGTGGTGCTCCCAAACATGTTGCCTTTTCAACAACGTACCAGTGGCTTTGTGCAGGCCCCTGAAATTTTCATTTTCCATTCGGAATAGGAAGAAGTTTCAAACCACACCATTTTCACTGCCTTTGTTCTTACTCTGATTTCCATGGTAATATGGACCCAAATTGATTGAGCAGCTTGGAGTTTACAGGGAAAACAGAGCTTCTGGCTGACTTATCACCTGCATGACCTGTTTCCACCCTCGACTTGCCTGGAACAGCCCCTGGACACATCAGACTGTTCACAGGATTTTAGAGTGGTTGGAGAGTCTCATTCGTAGAAACCACACAGATTTATAAAGTCAGTGACGTTTAGGCTTGTGACTAATCAGCACTGGCTCTTTAAGAGAAGTGATGTGTTTGTTGCAGCCACTTACAGCCCACCCACCACGTGAGGATATTTCCCTCCACTGAACTCCACATCTTTGATGCCCTCTTTGACCGCTTTACAGAGGATGGAGTATCTGGCTGCTTGCGGTATCGTTGGTGGTTAGATGATAACAGTGGTGACGGAAGTGCTCTGACCCTAACGTAGCCGAACCCTGCTAGTCCTCCTCCTGGGATAAGGACCCAACCTGGTAGATCAGAGGGTCCACAAGCGGCCAGTTGCCACGCTGGTTTTTTTGTCTCAACACGCTCTGGAGTTAGACTGAGGCAGGACAAGGAGCCGGATTCAGCCCCTTCTAAGAGTAGTCATGCTCCGTGTCACCAGGCATAAGATGAAAACACAGGCTCTGAAGTCCAGGGCCCACCAGTCCAAAGAGATAGCAAGCAGCCTTAGTAAGCAAAGTCCAAGTAAGCAGGTAAAACAAACACGGCCGGGGAAGCTGGGACCAGCGTGTCTAAGGAACAGCAAGGGGCCAGGTGCAGTGGGGACAGAGGGAACAAGCAGAATCGTGGAAGAAAAGGCCAGAGAAGATCCCTAGGCATCGGCTGCATTCAGATTTGAGCAGCAGTGCTAACACGTTCACTTGGGGGGACGTGCATTAATCTTCCTGCCTGCGAGTCAATTTCCAGATGACATTGAACATAAAGAAAATGCTAGGCAATTACTGTAGATGATTTGTTTAAATTCGTAGGTTTTAATCCTGGCTGCACATTAGAATGACTTGAAGAGTTGGAGGGAAAAAATGCTACAGCCCAGAGATTCTGATTTGCTTTTCCTCTGAGTGGGGTCCAGGCAACAGTAATTTTATTTTAAACCGGTGATACGCATCCTGGTTGAGAACCACTGATGTCCACAAACAGGTCCCTGGGGCATCTGTCTCTCCTGCTTTTGAGATCATATTATCTGGACACTTTGTGAATGCTGAACTTCCTTTCGGGCTGTAGACACGGTCTGTACTTCTCTCTTTGGCTGAGAACTGGCCTCCGTGACATAGAGTTCACACGAGCCAGCTGTTGTCTTTCCTGACTAGGATCGTGAGTTTTCAGAGAGAAATCTCTAGGGCTCAGGCAGTTCCTGGGCCATTCAGAATCACATCGATGCTGAAAAGCAGCACTTTATTCTAAATGAGCCTCAGAACACAGGAGCACCTGTTACTATTTCAGAGAATGATAAAGATTACTTTTACTTTAAGGTTTAAATGTTTAAAATGTCTTGTGAGCTTTTTTTGTACAATTTCAATAAAACTCTTAAAGAAGAAAAAAGGAAAGATAGCTTTTTTTTTTTTTTTGAGACAAAGTCTCGCTTTGTTGCCCAGGCTAGAGTGAGTGCCGTGGCACCAGCCTAGCTCACAGCAACCTCAAACTCCTGGGCTCAAACAATCCTGCTGCCTCAGCCTCCCGAGTACCTGGGACTACAGGCGTGTGCCACCATACCTGGCTAATTTTTTCTACATATTTTAGTTGGCCAATTAATTTCTTTCCATTTATAGTAGAGATGGAGGTCTTGCTCTTGCTCAGGCTGGTTTCGAACTCCTGACCTTGAGCAATCCTCCCGCCTCGGCCTCCCAGAGTGCTAGGATTACCGGCGTGAGCCACCGCACCCGGCCAGCATTTTGTTTTAATTCATTTATATATTCAACATCTTTAAAAGGTCAAAGCAAGGAGCCCTACTAAGTACAAATCAGGTTCACCCCAGCTAGGAAGAAGGAGTGTTCCCAAATGTAAGGGATCCATCCATTTGATCTTGGCACGGCCCAAGAAAGCAAGGAAGTCTTGCCCCAGGCTCAGCCCCTAAGCTGGCTTCGCCGACATGAGGCCAAATGGGGAGCAGGATTTTGGGGTGCTGCTTCCCTCATGTGAGCCTGCGTGCAGGACTGGGGCTGGGGTCCCCAAGCCTCTGCATTTCCTGCCTGTTTCCTTCCTTTCTCCTTGGTACACTCGGATCCCTATTAACCTCAGTATTTTAATTCCTTAGGCATTCCAGAAGTGTTCCTTTATGGATGTAAATTCAAACAGTCACGCTGAGCAGTCCCGGGCTGACAGTCACCTTAAAGACACTAGGCTGGGCACCACAGTCCCACACAAGGAGAAGAAGGTAACGTGGCAATCACAGACTTGCCACATGGCTGGACAGTCCCTTCCTTCCTTGCTCTGACACTAACACCGCTCTCCTGGCTTGAACTTCCGCCCTCTCTCTTTTTCTCTTTACTTTTTTAAACTAATGGAGACACAGGTTTAGGTAGAGATCAGAGATACCTGGCTCAGGTTGAACACTGTGTTCCCGTGTACGGCACACAGTGGCACATGCAGAACTTAGATGGTATGTTCCCAAACGAGAGTATTCACCTTTCAAGGTTTTCTAGAACAACTCTAGGAAAAAATAGAAATGGTGACCAAAGATATAGCAGCTTTTCAAATTTTTAGCATGTCTTCTGGACAAAAAAAAAAAAAATCTATGTTAAAAATAGGTAAACCTTAGATTTGGGGAAGAAGAAAATGCATGGCAGAAATACCTGCCACCGTACACAGGTGTGACTTCCTGGAGATATGCACGTGTCCAAGGGTGCCAGTCACAATTTTTGCAAAGTATTACCAATGTTTAAAGTATACCTTCCAAAATAATGCAGTATAGTTTTAATGCTAAAATATACTTGTGGCTTCAAAAACAGATGTCCAGCCTCTGACACACAAAGTCCACCGTCATGGCATAAGTACTTTAGGGGAAGCATGTTAGCCTGAATGTTTGAATTGCAACTTTAAGTTGGATTTAGGGCTTGCATGTTATTTGAATTAAGCCTCTGTCAAAATTTCAGGCTGAAAAGCTTGTCATGACCAACTCAAGTCCTAACAGTTTTCACCAGGAACTTCTATTTCAGAATTCAAAGACTGTAGCTTCCCTTAAATAAAGTCAAACAGATCACCTGCAATAGAACCAAGTAGCTACTCTACGTGGGTCTGCCTACAAGTGAGCTCAGTGAGGAAGATATGGTATTACAGGATCAGAGGGGGCTGTTCTAACACAGCCTTTTAAGAAACACAGTTCTGGGCTCCCAGCTCCCAGCCAAGGGGCCCAGCCTGCTTCTCCCAGGCTCACAGCCATCACGGAGCCCCGTGTGAATTACGTGTGCCATGTCACTGACATGAACCCATTAACGGGGGGAGGACAATCTTGCCATGTACCAGGGGAGAAGACTATTCGATTATTATTCATAAATCTTCCTCATGAAGAAAACCTTCTAGTAATTAGAACTGAACCCATGAAATCACATCAGAAATATATTGCTTTTTCAATACGTGGAATTTCCTTATGTGGCCTTATTAAAACAAGCTCGTGGAAGGCCTGGCCTGGCCTGGCATGTTGTGTGTGACCAGTGTGACCATTTCTGTCTAGAACGTTGACTGTGAACTTGGAACTTCTTAAAGTTCTCTCAAGAGACAATCATTGTCTCACTAGAGAATTTTTCTAATTGGCTAGAAAATTACGTGAGATTTTTTTGTCGCAAAATTAGAAATCTATATCCCATTGATTTAATCATCTCAGTCATGGGCCCCGCAGATAATAAGGACATCTTTATTGAGTGCCCAACATTGGGCTTCATCACAGGTGCTAATTCCAGATAATTATACTCAGTAGATCAACCTCCTTCATAATAACCATGAATATCTGACTTATCCCCAGACTTTTGTCACTATTATTAACCTCTTCCTGTGCTATTCGTTTATCATTCCATAAATCAAATGTTTTCTTAAATTTTTTCTCCTGTCCTCATGAAGCTCCAGCCTAATATGTGACTTTCATGCAATTTTCCCTGTAACTGTGTGTCTCATTTTGGTTCATTGTCCAAATGCATACGGAGTGTGCTTCTCGGTTGTCTAAACAATCCAAATCTCAGAGCCTATACACAGATATTAAAGAGGCTTAGTTAACGTTCATGCAGAGACTGAACCATCTAAGACTAAGAAATCCCTGTGAGTTTACTTGACAGTTGTAACCAAGATCGTGTATTTGCTTTGATTACAGTCATTCTTCTCTTCTAGCCCAGTGATAAAAAGTTATTACTGGCCCTAAACCTACACTTGACATCTTTATCTTAGTGAGCTTCCGTGGTGGTGTTCCTGCTAACTGGATCAGTTTTAAAATACATTCATTGCAGGGGGACATGGGAAATATGTCACAATCAAACAGCCCTGACCAGCCGGGACAGACACCAGCCCTCGCGCCCAGTAAACGGGCCAGCGGACCGTCAGTCACGCGTGTGTCTTCTTTAGGTCACATGCCAATTCCTTCTTCGGTGTAGAGAGAAAATTCACCCTTGGGTCCACCGTGATATGCCAACTCCATGTTTGGAGTTGACACCTTAGGCTGAAACCTCATTTATTTTTCTTCTTTAAAAGCTTTTACTCAATGTGTTAGTTGTTTTATATTTTAAATTTTAAATTTAAATTTAATATTTTAAATTAAAAATTCCACAAAAGAATTGATGCGGTTCAGCTGCAGCGGCTGAATCATTACGCTGGTTTGGTGGGTTTATGGGGAGCGAGTGGAAGCCAAACAGGAGGTGTCTGGGGGCGAATGGACCTCCCGCCCTGTGCAGTATTTCCACGGGATTAACACTGACTTGTGTGATATTCCCTGGGTGGTGTGAACACTCTTTCCATGTTTAACCAGGGTAGCAGGATGAGCCTGGGTTGACTTGGGCTTGGCCTGGGTAATTGTGCCTTATGTTGTCATCATTTAGCCGGGCAGCCTCCCCTGGGGCTGTGTCCATCCTGCTGTCACCCGTGCCTTCGTCCCCTTCGGCCTCTGCAGCAGGAGGCAAGGGACTTGGACTGCCAGGGCATCCCTAGCGCGAGTGTCGTGGCAGGCCGAGTCCATCAATCCCCCATGCTGGGAAAGGCCACGCTCGCAGGCCAAGCGCTCTGAGTACCTGGGTCCTCATGGTTGGATCTTTCAACCCTGGATCTTGGTGAGACCCTGAGGAGCGAATCTTCATTCTGCCTCGGAAAATACAGAGAATTAAAGCTGCATCGAGATGTCGCAGTCGTTGTTTTAGCCTCAGATATCTGTCTGCTTTGTAAATGTTTCGGTTGTGGTCATGCTGTGACAGCACTGTCACCATACATTTGGACTTGCTCACCTTGGCTATTATTAGTTTGAGGTTATTTGGACATTTAACACCTGCAGTACAAAGACATTTTCAATCTGTCATTTGACCAGGGGAAAATAATGTGCTTTTCATCCCAAAGTACCATCCCCAAACAAGCAATGGAGATGTCCTTATAGGACAATTTGCATAAAAGAAGCAGAGATAGGACTGAAATAACTAGCTATAAGGGAGACTCAAAATCTCCTGGTCTAGTTCTCATTTGATAAGCAAGAAAACTGAGGCCCAGAGAAAGGAAAGGACTTACCTAAAGTAACACAGTTAAGTGGCAGGTCTGGATCAGCGTCGGTCAAAACCGCCTGCCGGCTCACACGTACTTTATGGCTCTAGATTCTTCTAAGCTCACAATCAGATCTTGAAAAGAGGGCGTGTTGATACAGAATCTGTCGTTTTATTCTCTTAACTGCTGCCCCACAAAGTTTGACATACTTGACATATTTTGCTAATTGAGATTTTCATCTTGTGCAAACACAGGGCATTTTTGGAAGTTGGAGAACAAAGCAATGCAAGGTAAACAGAGCTATAGGCTTTGGATTGGTGTGCAACACTTGTGTTGGCCCGCATGTTTTGGAGATGTAATTAAAGCACAATGTAGTTATAGTCCACTTTTGGGGGGTGTGGTTTGTGGAGTAACATGTCCTACGCTATCCTACCAGAATTTGGAATTTTTCCATGAAGATGTACGGAAATCTGATGTTGCATATGAAAATGGCCCCCAAATGGAATCCCGAAAGGTAAGTTCACCACATCTGTGTTCCAGCTGATTCCACGCAGATTAACGGCCTTCCTCCGCAGATCCATTTCTGATTACGTGTGTGTGGTTTCCCTCCTCCATTCTCCCTCCCAGGTTACCGCAGGGGCTCTAAGACCTAGTGACCCTACTAAGTGGGAAAGAAGAGCGGAAAACAGCATTTCTGATGCATCGAGAACATCAGAATATACCACTGACACTGTGATGAAGGAAAATTCCCTATCCAATATGAGTTTACTCAGAGACAGTAGAAACCATTCCCAGAAACACGTGCCTAAGGTCAGTTTCAATTTCTCTGGCGTTAGTTCGTTGGAAGATGACATAAAAAAAGGGCCCCAAGTCTCAGGACTGCAGTACCCCGTACCCAGCGCTGAGGATCCGAAGTCGAGTTATGGAAAGACCACGGAGACGGAGCTGCAGGGACAGGAAGATGCGGACAGGCGTCAGGCTGCCTCTCCCGCTAGATTAGCGGAATCGAGTGTGCGTGACGTCAAAGCACAAGATCAGGAGGTTCCGGTGACGGACGTGGCCCCGGTGGTTCTGCGACCCAAGGGGGCCAGGCACGCCAGTGTGAGCCCCGGTGAGGACAGAGAACCAAGTCCCAGTCCTCCCGCTGAAGAAAGCGCGGCCGGCGACAACATCGCCTTCATGATCACCAAGACGGCCGTGCAGGTCCTGTCCAGCGGGGAGGTCCGCGACATCGTGAGCCGCAAGGGAGAAGACGTCCAGACGGTGAACATCGACTCCAAAAAGGAGAGGACCTCCCAGCAGGAAGGGCCCGGAAGCGAAGAGCCAGTCGTGTGCCTCGACAAGAAACCCGTCATCATCATTTTCGACGAGCCCATGGACATCCGGTCCGCGTATAAGAGACTCTCGACCATATTTGAGGAGTGTGACGAGGAGCTGGAGAGAATGATGACTGAGGACAAGATAGAGGAGGAAGAGGAGGAGGACAGTGGAGACCCCGGAGTCCTGAGCAACACTTGCCAAATGTCCCCTAAGAAGGTTGCCTCGGACGGTCCTGCAACAGGACGGCAGGTGGACACGAGGTCACCGCCACACTCGCTGGCGGCAGACACCAGGGGCCCAGGAGGACAGGACACGCAGAGAACCGAGCCGGGCAGGTGGAGCCAGGCAGAGTCTCCAAGCCCGGACAGCAAGGGCGACGAGCTGGCCGATGACCAGTTTGAAAGCCCCAAGAAAAAGTTTAAATTCAAATTCCCTAAGAAGCAACTCGCGGCTCTCACTCAGGCCATTCGCACGGGAACCAAAACGGGGAAGAAGACGTTGCAGGTCGTGGTCTACGAGGAGGAGGAAGAGGACGGGACCTTGAAGCAGCACAAAGAGGCCAAGCGCTTTGAAATCACTCGGTCTCAGCCCGACGACGCCCCGAAGAGCGTGGCCAGGAGGCAGGAGCAGCCCACTCTCGAGGGCGCATCTCAGATCTCAAGAACTGATGAAATTAGGAAAAATACCTACAGGACGCTGGACAGCCTGGAGCAGACCATCAAACAGCTCGAGAGCACCATCAGCGAAATGAGCCCCAAAGCCCTAGCCGAGACCTCGTGCTCTTCCAGCAGAGATTCTGTTGCAAACGCATCCCTCGTGGCCCCAGGGGCCCCTCCCCGCCCCTTGCTAGTTCCGGACGAAGCCCCCACTGTCCCAGAGCCCCCCACGCCAGTACCTGCAGCTTCACGTAAGGTATCTTGGTCTGCTGGAAAAACTGCAAGGAGCAGCTGCTTTCTTAAATCTGCCATAATTACCACTAGCAAAGGTGTCTTGTGATTTAATCTCTTCCTTTGAGGTGGTGCGTGATACCCTCCCCCCACCCTCTGTCCCTCTGTCCCAGACAACAACAACTAGGTGCCTAACAGCTAATCGAGTCTGTCGTTGACCTCTGTCGCTGACTGGTGTTGGGTGAACGCAGGGACGCTGTGGAGATGATTGCTCTGACACTCACATTAAAATCCGTTTGATCAGTAGTGAGCAGTTTGATTCCGTTTGATTCTTCCGATTAACCCCGTTGGTGTCTTCTAGACCTGTCCTGCATGTACAGCTGTGGCTTCTCACCCCGAGCTTCTCTGCGCACGGCGGGGCGGCCTCGGGGTCCCCGCTCACGCCACTCTCCTTCTCTCCCCCTTGTCCCTGGTCCTCCCCGCAGGGCTCCGGCGGGACCCCACAGACGAGCAGGATGCCCGTCCCGATGAGCGCCAAGAGCAGACCCGGGAGCCTGGACCGAGCCGGCAAGCCGTCCAAGCTGCAGGACCCCCGCCAGTACCGCCAGGTAGTTTTACCTTAAACCCAATTTTGGATGGACGCTGTCTCTGTTAAGAAGCAAGTCGCTGACTTAGTCGATGCCAAATATTGTGTTTTTCTGTGTAAGATACGGTTTGCGTAGACATCCCGGATCTTGGGGGGCATGAAGAAAGTCCTAAAAACCTTTGTTAAACTTTTCACCACGCTTTTTGCATGCTCGCAATAAAACATCTTTTACTTTGTGACTCCAAATTTTAACTGTTAACACACGGTGCCAGGCCGGGTGGCTTTTCTTTGGTGAACGTAGTGCTTCATCCGAACACCCTGGGGAAGAGGGACAGACCAGCCTGTCGCTGACCTGCCCGTAAAGCCACCAGTACTAACGTCTCCGTTGACTGCGTTGCATTAGAGCACACTAACGCTCCATCACAGCGCGGGGGGCGGGCACCCCACTAGCCGCCCCGGGGCACGGCCCGCCTGGCGCACGGGAAGTGGTAGCTGCAATGACACGGTCCTTCTCACAGACGCCTGCGTCCTCCTCTCCGGCCCTGGCCCTCCTTGGCTGCGTAGGTGGGGGTTTCCACTGGGGCCAGGACAGCACCACAAGACTTAGCTCAGGCCTCGAACTGTTGTGTTGTTTTCCGTGTTTTGAGTTGTTCTCAGAAGGGCTGTGTTGCCAGGCCCTGTGGTGGTCGTGCTGCCAGCTTTCTGACAACTGTCTCCCGCCATCTTTGTTCGCAGGCTAATGGAAGTGCTAAGAAAGCTGGTGGGGAATATAAACCTACTTCCCCCTCCTTACCTGCTTCTAAGATTCCAGCCCTTTCTCCCAGCTCTGGGAAAAGCAGCTCTCTGCCCTCTTCTAGCGGTGACAGCCCTAACCTCCCTAATCCACCCGCTACTAAAACACCGGTTCCTTCCAACCCTGTCAGCTCCCAGCCAGGACGGCCCGCTCACTCCGCCTCCCTCATCCCTTCCGTCTCTAATGGCTCCTTAAAGTTTCAGAGCCCCCCTCACGCGGGGAAAGGTCACCATCTCTCATGCTCACTGCAGACTCAAAACGGCCGAGCAGTCCCTCCTTCCTCCTCCTCCTCCTCCTCCCCGCCCTCCCCCGCCTCCCCCACCTCCCTGAGCCAAGGTGCCAAGGCCGTGAGAACCACCCACACTCCTAGCCTCGCCAGCTACAAGGCGCAGAACGGAAGTTCAAGCAAAGCCACCCCATCCACTGCCAAGGAAACCTCTTAAAGGCCAAATCCTATTAGGCACAAGTTGGAGTTACATTTAAAAAAACCAAACAGACAAAAACAACAAATTTAACAGTCTGCAACAACTGTGTTCCCAAGAGAATGTAACATATTGCTGTGTTGTTTGAGACTTAATGCTAAGTATGTGCTAAATACTGGATTAATAGATTTCAGCAAAGCTCGTTTTGTTTCGTTTTGTTTTGTTTTACCTTGTTGCTGTTGTAACTGCATAGTGTTTACTGTCTATATTCCATATCTAGTACAATGCAGTAAGCATGTGTTACAAAAAGGGAGTGTGGCGAGCAAGACGGGTGTGTGGAGACAGGAAAATTGTATTAAGCATGTAAAACATGTACGATTCCAGAATTTTAGTATGTTTTGTATAAAAATATTTTTCATTACGGAGACTAGAAGTGAACAGAGAAATACACAAGTGTGACTATACAAATTGTAAAACAGATACTATAATATTTCCTTTTATTTTAGTGTTATTTAGCTTTATTACAGATTTCTATTTTTGTCAAAACTTCATGGTTCCTTTCCAAATCTTTTTTGCCAAAACATTTTGATACTATAGCAATTGTACATTTGAAAGTAGTGTGCTAGACTATAAGCCAATGAACTTCTACACAAGCCAACAAGGGGCACATGTAGAAGGCAATTTATCAAATCTATTGCACTGCCATGAAAAGTCTGTATAATAGTTTGCTAGCCCAAGCAAGCTCATTTTCTTTGCTTGCTTTTTTTCTTTCTTCCTTCCTTTCCTTCTTTCTTTCTTTTCTTTCTTTTTTTTTTTTTTAACATATTGAGGTTCTCAAGTTGTTTTCTTTACAGTATCTAACCCCTTCTTTTGTTTTCTAAGACCTGGTAACCCACGTTATTGCATTGTGGATTTTCAAATGTACACTTCTGTACGGTTCTGTAAACTGATAAACTTTGTAAATATATAAATACAAATAGACATTAAAATACTGTATGTGACAGCACATAGAGTAGTTTTCCCACACCAAAGTTAATTTTTATGCATGCTTTAAAAGTATATATTGGGATGGGCAGATAGGGTACTGACTATCCATACATTTTTAAAAAGCCACAAGTTTGCACAGCTAGAGTGTTTTTGTAAATAAATGTATTTGTATAACACAGTCATGTAATATACAGAACTATAAGCAGAGACTTTGCAAAACTAAAAATAAAATAAAGGGCTGCATGCTTCTTATTTTTTGTACCTTGTCACTATAACCACTTCCTAGTCAAAGAATAAAATGTAACTGTTACCAAGTTCAATGTTTTTGGCTTTGAGGGATGTAACCACATCCACTCAGACAACGCTACTTTCCTGAAAGCTCTGGGGTGACTAATGATGAGTTGCTAATAAATTAATTGCAAGTGTGGTGCCTTGGATGTGACCTCCTGACTGTCTTCTCTGTGGCTTATCAAGGTTTGGCTCACAGAAAGCAAACCTGGATAGAGTTTCCACCCTCATTTACCAGAAGGCCTCTTATTTCTTTTCTCTTTCTTTTAAAAACATTTCCAGTAGACATAAAGTGGAAATAAAATACCTTTATCACTGGGGCTTTTTTATTTATTTATTTTTTTTTTGAGTCCTCAATTTTAAAAAAATACTGTTGGTCAAGGGAAATATGCTAGCTAATATTACACCATATGTTTTCACTTAGAAAGAATGGGAGGAAAGTTAGTGGAAATAATGCCACTCGTCATTGATTATGAATCAATAACGAGAACAGTCTCGGGAATCTACTTATTATTTTTCACTTGCAAAATATTTAATTTGGTAGTTTGATATAATAACGCAGATGTTCTTACTACATTAGAACCCAGTTGCTCATGTTAGCAAGCGTCTGCCTTTACTGAGCTGGGCTAGAAATATTTTATGATGTCTCTACTCATTATTAATGAAGTCACGTGTTTCAGATAGCGCTTGGGATAGTATTTAGGTTCCAACATTTCAATCATATGCCATAATCTCAACACCTACCTTACGTTCATATATAATGGCCAATTCATGCCCATTTATTCGTTTCTGTTTATGGACAAGCTGAAAATTCCCTGTAAGCAGCTAACTAGCCCATCGTGGCTCACTTTTTCAGTTTGACTTCAGACTTCCCAGTGCTCTGGCAAGATCTGATAGGTAATGGTCATTTCAGCCAACAGAATGAAGGACAGAACATGTTCACCAGGTAAGGGAAAAATGAACATAGACCTGTCTGCTCTCCTGACCAAGATCTAGCAGGGCTCTGCCTGCCTCTTCAGGAAACTGGAGAAGAAACAAGCATAATTCCAGGTGTGCATAGACCACCTATGACAACACTAACCAAAAAGACGCCCGTCATAAATTTGTTTAATATAGTTGCTGCCCCAACACCCATTTTTAGGGCTGTTGTAAGTTGTTTGAAACCCAGCTGCATCCTGTCTTGTGTTGTCCTCAAAACTTCCCTGTGTGGCAGTTTGCAATATAGCTCACCTGTTCCTCATCTTGCTGACCCAAAACTCAACACGGCCACAACTGCTGACCATGATAAAATCTAATGGGCAACACCAGAGTCGTGCAGATACGGTCCGCCCCTTGGCACCTGTGCACGGGGTTTTTTTTTTTGTTTTTTTAACTAGCCAATCCCCAACCTCACGGGAACGCTTAAGGGCTGGCACCCACGGACCTTAATAAAGGCATAGACCCCGGGTCCTCTCTCGCTCGCTCCCATCAGCCCTACAGCAGCAGCTCTGACCTCCCTGGGCTCTGTAAGTAAGATATTTCTTTGTTTCGTGCCATTTGGTTTCACCTTTTCCTTGTGCCTCTCCTGACTGACCCACCATCTCCGGGCTCTCCTAGAGGGTGGCTGTCTTGGCTCACGGGCACTCTCGACAGACCTCAAGACCAAATTAGAAAGAAACCTTAACAAAATCACAGCAGCACCTCAGGTCCTTAACCATGCACAGTGGACCATGTTAGGTAGGCTGGGCTGCTAGATTGTCACATTTTGTTAAAGTACTTTTATTAACGGAGTCGTAAATCATTGTGTCTGAAAACAAGTTTTAGAAATGAACCATGTGGGCTTCTCAGATTCATCCAGCCTTCCCTGGCCATCTTCTGCCCGTGGCGGGGGTGGAGGGTGCCGTGTGGCTGTGACATCCTTGCTGCTTTCTGGTTGTGTGACCTTGGGCATGTCCTGGCAGCTTCATCTGTTAGTGAAGGTTAACAATGGAACCTGTCTCTCAGGATTGTTGGATTAAGTATGGTGCATACAAAATTCTGAAGACAGAGTCTGACATATTGAGCATGCCATACAGGTAAGTGAGGATTGTTACTGCTGCAGTGGTGACAGATACTGTTGTCCCTCGGAGAGGCTTCCAGTTTAGCCGGGGGGGAGGGTGGCCCAAGCCCCCAGGAGAACAAGTCCCAGCGGAGCAGGAGCAGGCCACACGGTGGGCCTCAGGAGTCCAGAGCAAGGTCTCGTCCGGTGCTTCATGGAGTCGGTGACACCTGGCCCGTGCAGGTGTAATAGCGTCACGTTAAAAGAAGTTGCTTTTCCTTTAATGCTGCTTGGGGCTGGATGTCTTCTGAAGTAAGACAGTTTTGCACAGACAGAGAAAGGCCGAGGCTCTGGGAATCATCTGCGGAACGGTCCTTTTGTGAAGTGTATTCTCAGGTTTGGGAGCATCCCTGGGCTGGACTGCTCGGGGCAAGACCCATGAGACAAGAGGGACATAGCCACTGGGCACAGGGAGCAGGTATGGTCACTACCCCAAGGCCAGATTCATAGACAAACCTGGGCCTCTTCCCGAATGCCCCACTCTGTAGTTGTAAGTAACTTCCTCCCCTGCCCAAGGCTCTGTAAAAGCAAAGCCATTTGAGAGCGAACAGGAAGTTCTTTGGAGGGAGTAGAGGAATAAATGCTCCCACTGAAAAGTCAAAAGGTAATTTTGCAGAAGTAACAGGTGACACTGTCCAGGAAAACACGCCGCTGGGCACAGGCAATCATGCACTGCTTGATCTACGCTCCTGAGGTCATGTCCAAAGGAATAACGTGATGCCAAGAGCACACGTGAGGAGAGAACCTCAGGCCCTGCCAGGGTGCATGTCCGGATCTGGGCCCACCTTAGAAGCAAGCACCCAGCTGACCCAGAAGCAAGAAGGTTAAGTTATGCTAAACGTGCTCTGCCAAGAAGGCGGGGAGCTTATGGTGCATACATTAGATCTACACAAGATGCTTGATGCTTTCATTGCCTTGCATTTGCGGGGCTCTCCTTAATCCTGTGTTTGTGAGCACATCGGCAACACCTGCGGTCTGTTGCCTGCCATGGGCCAGGTATAACGCTAAGGTGTTTTGCATCTGTTGGCTTTTAATCCTCACCGAAACGCTGAGAAAGTTACTGTCATCCCTGCCCACCTCGCTGTAGAAAACAGGCTGCAGGACACACTTTGGGGACGGACAAGTGGCGGGCGGGCCGTTCTGCGTGGGTTGGGGGTGCTGAGGTTGCTGCTTTAAAGACAGTGGCGGTAACAGGCGGTGTTTCACTCCCGGATCGATGGAACAAATGAACACAATGCAGAAACACCCCATTCACGGGATCATTGGATTGCAAATTTCAGCTGCCACACCTTCAAAAGGTGTGTAGGTAGAGAGGCGCTCTGCTCAGAGGGTGACGTTCTCATCCAGTATTACTGTTGGGAGGGAGGTGACGCTGGATTGGAACCAGGGATCGCGACTCCTTTGCCTCCTGGGAGTGCGCATGGCTTGGCTGGGGCGTGGCATGGCGTCTGGGCGGGCCAGGGGCGGGGCTTCCTGCAGGTGAGGTGGTTTCCCCCCGTCCCAGCTGGGCGCCCCGGAGTTTTAGTTGCCGCCAGA